ATATATATTTTTTTACTAAGAAACAATTAAAAGCCAAGAGACATCATTAAGAAGCACTTTTAAAACAATTTGGAGTTCCCAGATACTTTTACTCCACCTTTCGCTGGAAAACCCCGTTTTAATCACGTGCGCTATGACGTTTTAAAGTAATTAATATTAGTAAGCATGGTAAAATGATTAGATGAACATGTGCGTAAGCCCATTGAAGACCTAATAAAAATATTTTTGAATTCGATTTAACGAATTGTCGAATTTGTTAGAACGAATTTAATTCGTTATAACAATTTTTTGAGTTCGTTGCAACGAATAAAATTTGTTATAAAAATTTTGTTGAATTTGTTATAGCGAATTCAAAATTTGTTATAACAGATTAAACTCGTTTAAACATATTCTAAAATTTGTAATAATGAAATAAATTCGTTTAAACTAGTTCAATTCGTTAAATATTTTTGCATTCGTTTTAACGAATTCAACAATTTTGTTATAACAGATTAAATTCGTTTTAAGAATTCAAAGAAATTGATATAACGAATCTAATTCCTCATAACAAATTCGACAATTCGTTATATCAAATTCAAAAATGTTTTCGTTAGGTCCGTTAGTAACGATTTTTTTAATGTGTGTGTGTGTGTGGGGGGGGGGGGGGGGGCAGTGTGTGACAGAGAGATGTTTGAGCTCTACAGTACTTGTACAATATCTTTTTTAAAAATACATTTTTAACATCATGTATATTGAACGTCTACAAATGTCAATAAATATTTCTTTCTGTTTTGTTTATGGTTTGGTATGAAAACAAAAAGAATCACCTTTGTGACAACAGGAACCCATTCTATTCGTAGACGAATACTTAATATTTCTTTTCCTTGCGATTTAAGGTAGTTAATTAGTACGATATGTAAAACCTAGATAGTTCCCCGAGAGCAGAACAGTGTGACATACACGTATTTGGTAACTTTTCCCCCTACAACGAGACAACAAAAATGAACTCTTTGATGTCTGTATTAATTATCACAATATTTTCATGATGACGATTCGTTGTTTGAATTCCTGGTTCTCTTATCAAAGAGGAGGTACTTCTTAACCTGGAAGTGGGAAGCACTCTTACACCTCAAGGACAAGATGGATGCACTTTTCCCGGCAGATTCACTGTTGTACTTAGTCTACAATACACAAATTTACAGATCAGCATGCAAGACAAAGTACATCTTTCGATCGTGCGTAATATTTGACAGTCTTGAGAGGACATGGGAACGAAGATCACGTTTAACCCCCTTTCTTTTTTTTAGTATTTCAGAAAATGTATGTAGAAGTTAAACAAGTGTTAATGTTCCTCATTTGTTGAGTCTTCCCTGAGACGTGTTTTGACTCTGAATCAGTAATTGTGAATTTAGAATTTAATGTTAGATTTTTCTTTATTAAAATAGATAAACAAAATATAACGGTTGTTCTACCTCAAAAAGACAAAAACATAAATCTACCATAGAAAACAAACCCGTTTGCCCATATACCAGTATGATTGTACTGTACATGTATTTGGGGATAAATCTACCATAGAAAACAAACCCGTTTGCCCATATACCAGTATGATTGTACTGTATTTGGGGATGAAGACGTTCAACCACCCCCCCCCCCCCAACTTTTGTACATTTCCTATCCTTGCTATTATATTTGATTTTGGGAAAGATTTTGGACCAAATCCATACCCCCCCCCCTTGTCAAATATTTTGTAATATTTGCTCGAGTCCTAAATCCGTACCATCAGTGGAGTTACGTGCTTTGCAAAAAGTCCATATGTAATAAAAACCAATTATACAAATTACTCTTTCTCTCTTGTATGCATAAAGATCATAAATTTAAATGCTTGGCTTCACATATCAAACTATAGAGGACACATGTTTTTCTCCTTTCTTGTTTTAGCTCACCTGAGTCAAAGGCGAAGGTGAACTTTTCTTGTCAAAATTTATCTCTCTGCCCGTCTGACTGATAACTTTCACATTTTCGACTTCTCCTGCACTACTGAACCATTTTCAATCAAACTTGGCACAAAGCATCCAAAGGTAATTGGATTCAAGATATTTCCCATTTTCTAGAGGGTAAGATAAGGATACGGTACAATTAATGTGTTACATTTATTTGAAACCAAACAGTAACAAGTCATAACAAATAAGTCATAACAAGTAAGTCACACTCCCTGAGGATGCTTCCATGTCAATATAACTAACCATGCCTTTGCTATTCGTGAGAAGATTTTTAAAGTTTTTTCCTATTATTCCTATGTAAAAATCTGAATGCCAAATGTGGCCCCACCCTACCCTTGGGGGTTATGATTTGAACAAACTTGAATCTACACTACTTGAGGATGCTTCATATCTATATGACTTCATGTTCTTGAAAAGATCTTTTTTCCTAAATATTCACTATGTAAAACTTTAATTGCCCATTTTGGCTCCACCCTACCCCAGGGGTGCTTTGAATATTTAAAAACTTGAATCTACACTACCTGAGAATGTTTCATATAAATATGACCCATCATCGGTTTGTTGTTCTTGAGAAGGTTTTTAAAGATTTTCCCTACGTAATTCCAATATAAAACTTTGATTGACCATTGTTGTCCCATCCTTCCCCTAGGGGTCCTGATTTGAACAACTTGAATCTACTCTATATCAGGAAGCTTTCATGTAAGTTTGATCTTTTCTGGCCTTCTGGTACTTGAGAAGATTTTTGATTGCTCCACCCAATTTTCACTATTTCTTTTTTTAATCTCCCTTTGGAAGAGGGGGTGACTCCTTATTTTAACAAATTTGAATCCCCTTCACCCAGAGATACTCTGTGCCAAATTTGCTTGAAATTGGCCCAATGGTTCTTGAGAAGAAGAAAATGTGAAAAGTTTATATCGACAACAACGACGACAGACAACGGACACATTTTGATCAGAAAAGCTCACTTGAGCTTTTGTCTCAGCCTCAGGTGAGCTAAAAACTTATCACCTCTCTACCTCTCTCTCTCTCTGCTCTTAATAGATTTAACACATGTTTTTGCATTTAAATATGTTGGAAACATTCACGTTTAAAACATAATCCTAACATAAGCTGATTATGAATTTTATTTCATACTAAGCTATTAGGTTTTCATTAGCTCACCTGAGCCGAAGGTTCTAGTGAGCTTTTGTAATCGAAGAGTGTCCGGCGTCCATCTATCGTCTGATAACCTTTCACAATTTCGACTTCTCAAGAACCACTGGACCAATTTCAACCAAACTTGCCAGAAAGCATCCTTGGGTGAAGGGGATTCAAGTTTTTTTTAAATGAAGGGCTTTCAAGGGAAAATAATTCAGAATTAGTGAAAATTTAATGACATCTTTTAAAAATCTTCTTTTCAATGACCAATTGGCCAGAAAAGATGAGACTTATGTGAAAGCTTTATTACAACGTGTATATTCAAGTTTGTACATATCATGATCTCTGGGGCTAGGGCAGAGTCACAATTGGCGATTAAAGTTTTACATAGGAATATATAGGAAGAATCTTTAAAAATCTTCTTCTCAAGAACACCAAAGCCATGAATGGCCATATTTATATGGAAGCATTTTCAGGTAGTGTAGATTCAAGTTTGTTCAAATTATGACCCCCGGAGGTAGGGTGGGGCCACAATGGGCAATCAAATTTTTACATAGGAGTATATAGGGGGTAAGAATCTTAAAAAAAAATATCCTCAAGAACAGCAATCCCAAGATTATTCACATTTTATATGGAAGCATTTTCAGGTAGAGTAGATTCATGCTTGTTCAAATCATGACCCCCGGGGTAGGATGGGGCCACGAGTTATTTTACATAGGGATATGTAGGAAACAAACCCGTAAAAATCTTTTAAAGCCATGATTAGACATATTTATATGGAGCATCCTCATTTAGACTGTATTCAGGTTTGTTCAAATCATGCCCTTTCGTTGAGCTAAGTCGCCCATGGGCCCCTGTTATATAAATATATACAGAACCATCAGTTTGTTTTTTATTTAACACTTGAATTAGTTATTACTACGATGAGCAGGTTTCGAATCGTTTCTTTACAAAACCCCCTTTTTATCTTCTGATGTTTATTTAACCGATATTAAGTCACATATCCTACAAATGAAATTGACTGTATAGACCTTTATATAGACCTTTATAAGCTGATAAGTACGAAAGGAACAAACACAAACCATATTTTGTAAAACTTTGTGGGCTTATTTTTCGTGACATGCTGTAAAATTCAAAGAAAAGCTCGAGTTACATCTTGCATACCTTACGTTGAGCATAGAAGGGAATGAAAAGTTTAAAACATCAACTTTTTTTATTTAATGAAGTGGCTTGTATAGATAGGAAACAAATACTGACAACATACAAAGGAACTGGAGATCCACCGTTCTTTAATTGACTTCGATTATTGATAAATGTGCGATCATTGTGTAACTTAAATGTCAAGCTTTATTGCGAGTTTTAAAGGATCCCTTCCATCAATTCATGTAATTATGACAATAAAATCTAAATATGATAGGGGAAAATATGGACTTGCGGATTTTGATCTGTCCATGCATATGATGGCACATTGCCGAGACCAGTCAGCAATCTTTGATGAGTGCAATTCCGATAAAACATCTTTTAAACTCCTGCTGGGGGGGAGTTAAGGAATCCCTCCAAATCTTCAATGAAGAATTTTAATGGATTTAAAATCAAATAATCTACACCGATCTGATGACAAGCGTAGCGTCTGAAGCCATTGTTCGGAGCTGAAAGCCGAGTTCAGAACTTGGGTACTATTTAATCAAAGATTGCTTGATCCCAACAGGGGTAGTTCAATGATTTAGATACCGAGTTATTTAATATATTAAGTCAGATTTGTTTTGAATTCGAATGGGTAAAAAGAATAAAAAAAAATTAAATTCAGGCGTGCAGTTGGCAACGAAGAATTCAATATTTCCCTTTGGAATCCTGACATTGTAATCGCGGGGGATTACAGTGAAAGATAGGAGGTTTGTTCCCTGACATGTCCATCGACGTTAAATTCGATTACTTCGTGACAAATGGCAACTGCTGGAGGAATCAAAAAGCCAAAATCGGCAACAACAAAACAGTGTGCCATCTGTGAGGCTCGAGTTGACGTTAAATGGAGGTGCACCAATTGTGATAAAATCATCTGTCAAAACTGTAAAAATCTCCATAAAAAGGTGCGTGCCACTAGTCATCACAAGATCGTCTCCATTGTGAGGAAAATTAGAAAAGAGAGCAAGGGTGATGACAATGCAAGCGAAATAGGGAGCAACGAAAACCACGACGATGGAGGATCGTCATCTGATAAAACCATGCCTAAATCCTCTCGACCCTCTGTGATGTGCTTGAAGCATAATGATTCTGTTTTGAAATGGTACTGCAGTTCGTGCAAAAGTGCCGTCTGTCAAGAATGCGCGAAAAGTGATCACAAATCGCACGTCATGGCAGACCTTTCTGTTTACCAAGACCGAAAACAGAAAAAGTGGGAACGTTTCTTAAAGGTTTTAGAAGATAAAGAACTGCCAGAAACGATGCAACGAATGAAGAGAATAAAGAAAGCAAAAATGGATTTCGATGCTAACATCATCGCAGTGAAAAGAGAAGTGTGGATGCGATACGACGAATTCATGTTGAAACTTGGGAACGAGCGCCAAAAGATTTTGTCTGAACTGGACGAAATTCAGCACCGAGAAGAAAAGGTTTTCTCCGACGCTCTGAAAAACATGGAAAGAGAAATAACTGTACTCGAATCATCGATTGATTCTACGACAGGAATGATTGATTCATTAAATACTCAGTCGATCTGGGACAATTTCGAAGACGTCCGAACAGAGGTAGAAAAAATAAAGAAGACCTTGTATCCAAACCCTGAGAAAGTAACATTTAATGCACCCGAAGTGACGGAGAAGATAGTGTCGCATTTATACGGAAAACTTGAACGTCGATTGGATGAAGCACCCTTTCTTCCACCTAGCCGCTCCGATTTGTCGGGATTATTGACACCAGGCGTCGATGTATCGCTTTTATCGTCGTTTGCCACCGATCTGCCTTTCATTCGAACCATTTGCCCGGTGAGTAGCGAGGAAGCGTGGATTGGCTGCTGGCAGCACGATCAAATGTTTTTAAGCTCATCTAGTGGTCAAGTCAGTCAAACAGTCACTGCCAAAGCAATGGACATGTCTGTTATGGATAACGGTGATCTTCTGGTCGTGTGTTACTTGAGTTATAATTTACAATGCATAAAAAAGAACGGGAAATTGAAAGAACTGAAATCAGATTTGCCTTTGTATCCTACTGGCATCATTGCAATGAGTAATGGGGACATCATCGTTAGTTTGGTTGATAGGTACGATCTTAAAATAGACGAAAACAGTATTCGTCGGCTAATGAAATTCGATAGAGATGGAAACATTCTTTTAATCGTTGAAAATGATGTAAATGGAAGGGCAATCTTTACGTATCCAGCTAAAGTGACAGTTAATATCAATGGTGATATATGTGCTATAGATGAAACTGGCGAGTATTCTGGTAGGCTTGTAGTATTCGATTCAGCAGGAGAACTGAAATTTGAATATGGCGAACTAGATAGTACGTTCGAAGAAACGTGTGATCTCAGCTCCTGTGCATGCAGCGCAGACGGTAGAATCGTAGCCACCGATTGGCTACATCACAAGATTCATATTCTGACAGCAGACGGCTGTTTCATTGGCTATCTTATGACAGAGGATGACGGGATACATTTCCCTTTTTGTTGTGCATTTGGTCCTGATGGCGTTTTGTGGATAGGATGTAAGCTGTCGAAAGAGGCCGCAAAGGGGGACATTGTAAGAGTCAATTACAAATGCTAAACAAAAATAAAAAAAAATGAGAAAGAACACATATTTATCTGCTTTTTTTTAGTTTTTGGAAGATAAAAGACATGTACTTCTTTCTTTCTGATTTGTATATTTTTTTCTGACCTAAATCAAGATCGATTAACACCACATTTCTTTCTTTGCTTTCAAGTTAAATATGAAAACTGTCTCTACTTTTGATATGCAGATTGGCCCATTTAGTACATCTGACCAGCTGAACTAAGTCACTCGAGTTTTCATTACTAAAAAATGTACAATATTATTTACTCAATATGCCTCTATTGTGTTTATACATATAACATTCCATTGCCATATAAAATGAATGTTTTTCTAATAATTGAAATACCTATGGTCAAACTTATTCTGAAGTCTTCATTTAGTTCTTAAAGTAAATAAAAAAGCAATTTTGTTTTCACAATTTAATACCTCTTTAAGTATCCATCATTTTAAGTAAAATAGTTTGGACCCATTTATTTAAAAGCATCTCGAAGATATACTCAAATAATATACACATGTATACCTATCACTTCACCACAATCTAAACTCTGTAACATGATGTCAGTAGTATTCTACAATAACTCTACAGCAATGTTGATAAAATATAGTTTTCAATATTCTCAAAAGGCACTTGAATTCATGCCCCTAAACAAGAAGACACAGTCCATGACATTCTTATAATAAAGCAAGACAACAACACATTCATTAATCTATATAATTTTAAAAATTGCGCGTATTCATCATATCTGCTGATGTGTCTAATGATAACGTACTTTTCAACACAGTCATACCATATGCATGACATTGACAATTAATTTAATTCCACAGAACTAACATTTTATGTTAATCACTATTGGCTGACACAATGGGGACCATATTGATCAATTTGTTTCAAAATAAATTCTATCTTCAGAAATTCTACAAGTTTCACAGTACTTTTAGTTGTACATGTGACTTGCTTATCACTTGTGATAATATCAGCAAATTGACTAGCTGATTTAAAAATATTGAAAAGTAAGAGGCCCATGGGCCAATTCGCTCACTTGAGCACTTTGGCTAGAAAGTTTTAGTATATAAGTGCTCCCAACCTACCCTTGGGGTTGTGATTGGAAAAATAATGATTCTCCGAGACCTAAAGATGCCTTAATATTTCATCAACTAGGCTTGGCATCAGAAGATTTTTAAAGACTTCTTCCTATATATTTCTATGTAAAGTTTGATCTTCTATTGTGGCCCCACCCTACCCCCAGGGGTCATGATTTGAACAAATTATTCAACATTACCTTAAAGTTACATAAAGAGTCAAAATCATCTGTTTCTTTTAAGATAATTGTATCAAAAAACGAAAGATTTATGTGAAATATGAATATAGCAAAGTTTTGAAAACTCAACTTTACCGTTAAGCAAGAAAAGAACTGCAAAATATAAGTGCCGGAAAAACAAGTGTTGTATCTATCGCATAATTTTTATCGTCAATGTCAAAAACGTCAAGGTCACGCGTCCTTTATTTTTAGCGTGGAACTTGTAAACAACATTGAATTGGAGCAAGCAAAAGTTAGGAATAAGTTCTGATAATCTTTTTTGAAGTCTGTATCAAAATTCTCGGTCATCCGACATTTGTATCTATGGAATTGACACCATGGTAAATTCTTTAACATTTCAGCACATGCGTACAATAAAGAGGAAATAGTGAAGCAATATTTTTGTGTCGGGTTATACAAAGATTTTTTTTACTTTTATTTTTCTCCATAAAAGTAGATTTTTTAGGTTCTGAAACCTGTAATTTTCTGACACCTAATATCTTCAAGAACTGAACAAAATTTGCATGTGTCATGCAAAAATTCTACTTTTGTCAATTTTCCCGTTTTTCTGTCACAGTGTCACTTCAAGATGTTTCCATATAAATATGACTAACCATGGCTTTGCTGTTCTTGAGAAGAAGAATTTTAAATATTTCTATTATCCAACCTATGTAAACATTTGATCGTCCTTTGTGGCCCTACCCTACCCCCAGGGGTCATGATTTGAATAAATTTGAATCTCCACTACCTGAAAATGTTTCCATATAAATATAACTAATCATGGCTTTGCTGTTCTTTAAAAGATTTTTTCCTATACATGTATATTCCAATGTTAAACTTTCATCGCCCATTGTGGCCCCATCCTAGCCGTGGGGGTCATGATTTGAACAAACTTGAATCTACACTACCTAAGGATGCTTCCATATACAGAGTAAATATGACTTATCATGGGCTTGCTGTACTTGAGAAGAAGATTTTTTAAAGATTTTTCCTGTGTATTCATATGTAAATCTTTTATTGTCTATGTGGCCCCCACAGCTCTGGGGGTCATAATTTGAACAAACTTGAATCTACACTAAGTAATGAAGCTTTCATATAAGTTCCATCTTTTCTGTGCAGTGGTTATTGAGAAGAAGATTTTGAAAAGATGCCATTCAATTTTCCCTTTGAAAAAGGTTGCGGCCCTTCATTTGAACAAACTTGAAACCCCTTCCCCCAAGGATGCTCTGTACCAAGTTTTGTTCAAGTTGGCCCAGTGGTTTTGGAAAGGAAAATGAAATTGTGAAAAGTTTTCGAAGACAACAACAATGACAATGACAGATAATGAACTAATTTTGATCAGAAAAGCTCACCTGAGCCTTCAGCTCAGTTGAGCTAATAAGGAAACTTAATTTTTGACTGGTCGATGTTACTCACACATATTTTTCCCCCAAATAAAGTTATCCATAAAAATATTTACAACTAAATCCTTAATTTACATGTAAATTGCAAGCTGCAGTGAACTTAATTTATGACAGCACTGAATAAATACAAAATCAAAAGTGCAATATACATTGGAGCTGAAGGAAGCACATAGTCAAACACTCACAAAATTATAAATAAATATATTTCATATAATTGGCAGTAATACATCAACAGCACTCTGCGCAAATATCACAATATATTTACTCAGTATATAATACATGTATACACAGAATCTGATATCAATAAAGCACACACTCTTGTTGGGCAAAAACAAAAAAAAGCACAGGGAGAACATCGAGATCTAGCGACTGGACAGTTTGTGTCCATGAGACTAGTGCAGGATAATGTCACTTAGTATAGTAGTCATTATTTCATGCTGATACAAATGAACTTGGATAAATGTATATATATACTTTTTATATATGTATGTAAAGCAACATGATTGTTATGGACTCGTAAAAAGGGATTATATAAGTTTTATACTAAAAAAGAAGTACAGTTGAACTTCGGTATCTCAAACACTGATATCTCGAATACCACGGATATGTCAAAGTGATTTGGAAGTCCCAACTACTTATTCTTTATGTATTTAACCCTCAATATCTCGAATCATCGGACATCTCCAAGTTTTTTCTCGGTCCCATGGAGCTCGAGATAACGAGGTTTGACTGTATTTTATATACACCAAATCAACAAAGCTACAGAGCAAAAAAAAAGTAGTAGATTGTCGCAAATTGTAAATAATTTCTTATTTCATCAAATTCTCAGTTTTTTTTTTTTCATCCCTCAAGAAGAAGATTTTTAGAACTTTGTTATTTTAAGAAATAATTACCTTCATTCATTCCTGGGTTTTCCCATCAATACAGCTGAGCTAGTAAAGTACATGTTTATTATCATTACACCAACATAAACCACCTCCAATCTATTTAGGATACATATTTTTATTTGATCTTTTGAATTAAAAACATTGAAATTTATTTGACATGAATTATTATTATTTTTTAAATAAATATTTTGGAACTTATTTCTTCACTCAAAATGTCATACTTTTAAATGCTATGTCACCCGAGGATGTGACTCTGAGGCCTATCTACACAAAGAGCTGACCTGCTTTAATAATGTAGCAATACATATAATGTTGATGATGTATGTGTCCTTGAAAGGAGACAATTCTGCAATTTCTATCCTTAAAAGTCTGCTTCATATTTACCGGTACATGCACTTAAGCAATTAACAAGAACTTTAGAACATCATGCTTAAGTTCCACAAAAACATACAATTACCCAGTTTTTTAATGCCATAATATTATGTTTAAAAAGCAATTTTTGCATTGGCTAATTTTTTGTTGCTCAAACCAAATAAGGTAACAAAATAAAATAGCAAACATTTCAAAACCTTGTATTTTGTACATCAGATGGTGAGGAATCAGAAAAAAATTGAAAACACAGAGGTATCTTCTCTCAAAGACCAAAGTGCAAAAATATTTGAAAGACAGAAATGACCCATGCTATGGTACATGTATTTAATTAATATCATATTTCAAAATCTTCCTCTAGTCTGTCATGTTTTTTTTTAATTTTCAATGGCTATAACATGATGCTCTGAACAACAACAAATGGTTGATAAAATGTCTACAACAATAACGACTGAATTGAAACAGATGACACCACTAGACCTCTTTATGTGATGGCTCTGAATCTCGCGGGTAGTGGTCTCTGAGCTCTCGGCGATTTTGGTCATATTCCTTAGCTTTAGTGTACATTAGTACACCAATGGTAACAATGATGGTACCAAGTCCACTCAAGAATGTCACAGGGTTACCAAATAATATCACAGAAATCCATATCAGGAATGCCCTCTTTACTGTATTAGCCACACTGTAAGATTAAGATGTTAGAAATTATACTTGTAGTATGTAGGGATAAAATGTTTTACTTGTAGTATGGTAGGTTGAAAATGTTAGCATATTAGCAAAGTTATGATATTTAAAGGGAAATAACTCGAACAGAAATATTTCTTTACAGAAAATGCTAATCTCTCTCTCTACAGTTCAAAAATATTGTAATACATACATATATACTTACCTGTGTGTAACAGGTGATATATAGCCCATCAATACATATGCTGATATACTTTGAAAATGAAAGAAAACTCCATTAGCTATAAGAGCTGTGACCATCATCCCATTCATGGAGGCTTCAGCTTTATCAAAGTCTATCAGAAAGAAACATGCTGGAATCTGCACTAAGACTGAAGATATACTGGTATAGAACTGCAGTTCTGCTGGGCTATAAAACAGAAAGTATAAAACACATCAGATATATCTTAATTACAAGTGGATAACACAAAACAGGAAGTGTAGTACATGTAATAATATGAATTTAATTATTAAATTTATTTATTAAATTTGTACCAAATACATTTATAGGTAAAAACAGTGTTATCCTGAACACGGACATCTCATAGGCCTAAGAAAATCAGCTGTTCTGACCAAAATGTACCACAATATTAGTAAATAATATAAAATTCTAACATGCTGAGAAAGGGCAAGCGGTAAATCTAGTCTTCCTGATTCCCGACGCCCAACGGTCCCGGATTTTGGTTTTTTGACGATTTCTTTTTTATTGATGCACAGAAATTATTCAAACTTTTCAGGCACCTTTTCTAAGTTTAAATGAATTCATTAATACATAAAAACCTTAATAAATTTACGTATTTAATTCTGGATCAGCAGTATCACCCGCCAAAAAGCGGTAAATCTAGTACTCTGATATAAATGCGAAAACCAAAGACGGACATCGATCTTTTCGTAGTATCGCGATTAAACACATGTACAACAAATTGAAATATAAATTTTTAAAGAAATAAGAGGAAAACCTCATTTACATGCCAGTTAATTTGCATGCACAAAAAAACCCACATTTCCCTTTTTTTCTTGTAGAACTCTTTGCCACAACATGTTTGTGTTCCTCATGTTCCCAGGCTCTACGACGTGGACATGGTTCTACCTTAGAGTCACCCCCCCCCCCCTTTTTATTTTTTTTCTTCTTTTTCAAATGGGAATTAACTTTTTATTTATTCATTTTAAGTTTTTTCTTTCTTTTTTTTAAAATTATAGTTATTATACGGATTTCTAAATTCAAAAGCTTTGTATCGGAAGAAATTTGTTATCTAGAACATTTTTTATGTAATATTCTATAATTTTCAATCTAATTGAAATATATTTTATATTTCATTTTAGCCACATCTTTTCGAATTACGTTTGCTTTTTTAATTATATGTTTACCTGAACGAAATGCAATAGATTTAAAAAAAAAACATGCATACAATTTATGAATCATCTAGCAGTATTCCCTGGCACAACCAAGTTACTATAGCTTGGACTGTATATCTCTTCACTTTGAACTGTATCCGATGATTAGGAATTTAATTATTTTACCCAAGCTGATACTGCTAAAATATAGCTTTAGTTACTGAAGTGATAATTTTATTAAATAAATTTTCTATGATTAAAAATGTCTTAAGCATGTTAAGGAACCTGACTTTAAAATCACTTTGATGTTATGGATTATAATAGAATTATTTTTTTTTTATTGATAACACCAATTATTCCTGCATTCACTGAAATATTAAATCCATCTTTTTGAGAGAAAAAAATATCTTCTCAATTAATATCAACATTTTTTTTATTATCTTTAATATCTACAAAATCTCACGTTTCCATTATGTTGATGTCCGTCTTTGGTTTTTCGCATTTATAACAGAGTACTAGATTTACCGCTTTTTGGCAGGTGATACTGCTGATTCAGTATTAAATACGTAAATTTGTTAAGGTTTTTAGGTATTAATGAATTCATTTAAACTTAGAAAATGTGCCTGAAAAGTCTGAAGAATTTCAGTGCACCAATAAAAAAGAAATCGCCAAAAAAAACAAAATCCGGGACCGTCGGGAGTCGGGAAGACTAGATTTACCGCTTGCCCTGAGAAAGGTCACTGAAATACTCAAAATATTTTCCAGAAAATGTTTAGTCATGCAGCCTGGCAATAACAACCATGTTGGACATGAATATAAATACCACTAAAATAGTGGTATTCTGATCTAGTGGTATTACACTATGTTTACACTATATTAAACTACAGTTTGAGCATGTTTTTGTGTTTCAGATAAATCATTCTTTAAATTTAAATTTCATACATTAGAAAACTTTCATTGTACAAATTTCATTTGCAAAAGCTCAAAGGATTTTTGAGACATTGCCTGGAAATGAAAGTTACACACAGAAATTATGACAGTTGGACAAAAGACAGACCCAAATTAATATCTCCCACTTTCAGTGAAAGTGGGGGACAAAAAGACATGCCATGGCTTACTTACGTATATTTAAACTTTTCTCCACTAATAAGTATCTTCGAATATACATTCTGCAGACTGAAAAAGATAAATCCTATAGATAATAACAATGACAATAGTTAATTCTCATCAATTTCAACTAATGTGTAGAGAGAAAGGACTTTTGACTGTAAATGACAACAAATTGTTTCAGAGGTTCAGACATTTTGTTCACTATATCAACATGTACAATTCAGTGAACATGAACTTCATCACAAACAATAAATCACAAAGCTGCCAGAAATTTGACTTCTCTATTATATGTTTTTCATAAAAAAAATTAATAATTGACTTGAGTACTTAAAGAGATATACAACATTTGAGCAAAGGCAAAATACCACATAGTAATTTCTCCTGTTGTTGAACTTTTAAAGGATTTTTGCAGTTCAATAAGAATCATCAGAATCACATAAACTGAATGGAATTGCCAAATATTAAACACAAAACATTCTTCCTCAAAATATTTAAAGCTGCAACATTACCAAACTGCAGAAATTATTCCTGCAATTTCTCTCATTTGCTTATAAAACTATCAGAAAATTAAATGCTGAGTAGTTTCTTGAGTAAAAATGAATATTTCATGACACATGGGACTTGAACATTCTATAACATTTACATTTGCTGTGTTTTTATAGTAAGCCAACTGTAAAATTAATTTGAATGCCATTTTTCTTGTAAAATCATGCATAGAAATATACACGGAGAAACTCAGCCTAAAGTGACGTCACAATGAGGCTACAGAGGCGTATATAAAAATATAACCATATAGGGCAGTGAGAAATTCAAACACTGAACATTCCTAGCTATAGTAACTAATGTTTTTTTTAAGTTAAGTGTGAATTATTGGTGTGTAAATCACACAGACTTGCACGTAGGCATATTTTTCATGAAGCTCTAGAATGCTTCCTGAAATATGCCTATGTGACAAGTCTGTGTGATTTACACACCAATAACTCACCCAAAACTTAAAAAACATTCCTTACATAATTCAAGACCAACATCTTACCATTCTGTTAAATTTGTGGCAAGTGCTGCAATGAATCCCTGTATATTAAAACTAATTTCATAAGCTGAACACAGGGCTAGTCCTCCCATGACCGGGATGAGTGATAGGAATGTATAGAACCCCGTGTATTCCCCCATTAGAACTTGTGAAATGAACACGGTGAACAAAGGGGCAGAACTCTTGACTGTTTCTGTAAAGGAAACTGCCACATACTTCAGAGCCACAAGACCCAGGACAACAGTGGAAAATCTAAAATAAAGACAAGTAAAAATAAGTAATGAAGTTAAATAAGTAGAAAAATGATCAGAAGGTTATTTGCCTAAGAAGTATAACAATTATTGTTTGGATCAGTGCATTTATATGTATCTGCCCTATAACAAAATACCTTAATTATATGTTCATCCAATCCTACTTCTCACAATTATTAAATAAAAACAATTCTAAGATTTTAAATATCAAAACGAAATTTTTTTTAAAAAATTAAAAAAACAAAAACAAAAAAAAAAACACTGTAGAATCTTACCTCATTGAACCCACTAAAATCATGTTTCTCCAAAAATTGGGAGGTTTTCCATCCCTTTTGATAGGTTTATAGAAGCCCATTGGTATGTAGAGCTGGATAAACCCACATGTTGTGGTCATCACCATTTGCATTGCTCCTGTTTAAAAGAAAATATGTGAAATCTAATGAATTCAAGACCATGTCCATGTAACCAGCATCTGGATAATAAAGTCTGGAATCCCTTCCTGTGTGTAAGGGTGGTCATGTGGATAAATTGGTTTTGCTACAATGCTTTAATCTAAGAAGTCATATTGAAGTATCCTATATACATGTAATTATAAATATTCTTGAAGCTAAGTCAAGAATGTTAGCATGTTAAAAAGAATATATGAGTCATTCTAGAAAATGGGCCAAAAAACAAAAACAAAACAAAAAAAACCCCAGAGAAACATGAAGTTGTACTCGAGTCAACGTGTTTAAGAAAACTAACTTTAATAGACAGACAAATAAAAGATACAGCAGGGTATGATCAACACTATAATAAACTCCAATAATAAATACCGATACGTAGCAATATGCATGAAAGTTAAGCCATGTCACTTCATGTGATCTGCAACCTACCTCCTGGTATAAATGTTGTAACACCAAATTATGACAGTCTACAATTAATGCTCAAGATAAGCAATCTAAGAAGTTTATTTAAAGTTCTGTACAATAATTTAACCATACCTAGTACTGCTGGATCTCCCCTGAGTGTGGACAAAATGTACTTGTTCAAGAAGAGGGTGAAGGCACTAAAGATGTACCAAAGTATCAGGAAGAAGAAGGCTCGGATATTAAGTAAACCCAGCTTCTCATCATCTTCATCCTTACGAACGATGTGCTGGTTACCTCCCTTCTTTACATTCTCTAAAGACATTTCTATAAGATCCCGCTCCACTGGTGACCTAGGTTCTGCACTCATTTTGGTACATGTGTTTTATCTTTGCTTGTTGGCTTTATCCATTGCTTAAACAATAATTATCCTACAACATAAGGGAATAAACAAAGATGAAAATATGGGGGAAAGTTTTTTTTTTTTCCCTATTGCAGTAATAATTAATAGCAAACCAACATCCTCTCACATTGTGATTTCATTTCATAAATATACTCTGACTCTTACAAAAGGAATAAATATATGTAAAGTTCAAATCGTGAAAAAACAAAAAACAAAACACCATTATGCTTTGATCATTTTGTTATTGTTTTAAATTTTTAATATCTTTGAAACATGATGGATTTAAATTGTGTAATTTACAGGAAAGTCCTATCTTTATATAAAATAATAAAACAAATAGAACTATCTTTTTAATTTTGGTTACCTGAACTTATCAAAAAATATGCCATATATGACTTTAAAAACCATACATCCGGCCATATATAATAAATTAATATTAATTAAACTTTGGATCAAAATACACAACCAATAAAGACAGGGATTTATCTAGCTATTTTGTTTTAATACCCTTTTTATATACAAAGGGGAAAAATGAGAGCCGCAGGCTTGAACCGAGCTCCGGAGACGGGAATATGCCGGGGGGTCCGGGGGCATAAATGGAGCAAAATCTTGCATTCTGAGAGCTTCTGGGGGTCATTTCTAGACCTTTAACAAGGGAAAAAAACTACATGTTTTAGACAAAATATGAAATAACAAAAGTAAGTTAAAACCAGGTCAGTACTTTATTTATTTTTCTCTCTGAATTCCTCATCACATATCAATTTTCCTGTTTTTCTTGTTTCACTACTAACATCGTTGCACTCTCTACCATCAGCTCATACATTCACTCTCTACAATTGGCTCATACATTCACCTCTGTTGTTGGCTCATGTATATCACAGTGTTAAGCACAAGAAATAGTGCAATTGTTTTCATTCATTATAATTAAATTCCTGCACTAATGTTTGTCTTTTAAGGTATATATCTACTGAGTAGGTCTAGAACTATTATTTTAATTTGAAATAATCTTTGGAATATAATTTTTTCTACCTTATGTCAAAAATTTTGATGCGAGCCCATTGCAGAGGTGTCTGAGAAAGGAACGGACGACAACTCTACGAGGGTGATTGACTTCGTTGTTGTGGTTACCCCACTCTTCCGATTTATGTTCCGTCTGACTAGCTGACTCAACTTCACTTTCTTTTAACTCTACGTATCTTTCTTTTTTTTGTTGAAGCCTTGAAAAGCTTCTCAATTCTTGGCATCCTGACAGCATCTTTTTTTCTAATTCTTTTCACTTAAGAGTGTGTTGTGCGACATCATGGACATGACACATGTTTACCGATCAATATCAATTCCATTAGAAGCTTGAATGTCTGACTCTCGATCTTATTCTAAAAGCGTTTGAATGACGAGGACGTTAAATTAGGATATGCAGTTGAACTTCAATTGGATAAAAACTGGAAATTTACAAACGATGTTTAAAATATTCTCTGCTGAATTTTCTATCTGAAATGGGGAATTTTTACACCTTTTTTAAGAGGGGAAAGGTACCGTTTATTGGTAGTAAAAACAGCCTTGATAAATCCCTGAAAGAGTTATTGCTGGTATGGTCACAAATTTTCGCAAATAAACATGCAAATGGTGGAGTTGCAAGTCTCTTTATTTATGTCTCTAGTCATAGTTTTCTCCTTGGAAGGATAAGGTGAACATTTGAACAACTGCTTTGGAAAAAAATGTGTGTTATATGATTTACCAATCAAGGGTCATTAGGTGACATGTAATATTTTTACAATATGACCAATTTTAAATATTTAAATTATGATACAAAATACGTGACATTTCCACAATAGTTAACATAACTTAAAATATCTGACTCTATATTTATTTTTAAAAAAAAGTCTTGCTATGGTCTAAGTTACAATGTAGAATCTAAAATTCCAAATGGTTCCAATTTGAATATATTTGGGCTGTTGCCTAAATGGTAATTTGGATACCTACATATTCTTCTATTTTTGTGGTTCAATCAAAAGATAAGCATGTGCTTGTAGCTTGTATCGTTGTGACTGCCAACACTACATCCTTGCCAGAGAAAACTTCAATGTTGATCAGAAGCTTGTAAGCACTGTAATTCAATAAACCGTTCACAATCACGGAAATGATTAAGATCACAATCGAATACTTCCGGGTCATGAATGACGTAGTGAATGATTTCTACATAGAAAACAGAGAAAAAGAAAGAAGCAGATGATGACAGCTGATTTATATATTATCGAGACCAGATTGTTTTCATTTTAATATTTTCAAAAATTTAACGAAGTTATATCACTAGAGAAAATGAGCGAATTAACTCCTGATGAGGTGAGTGCAAATAACACGATTTGGATATTGAAATCACTATGCACATGTCTTTTTGTTTGTCAATAAAAAAATACAAACAAACAATCAGTTAATCATTTTGTCTTTAAGATTATGTAATGAATTTGTATTTAAACTTTTTACCTCTGTGATTGCTGTTTTCTTCAACAAATTTTGTTCTGGATTCCCTTTTTTAAAGTTTAAAATATTCATCATGCAAATACTGAATTTGAATTATATATCTAAAACATTTGTATTCTTAGATTCGGCGTCGAAGACTTGCTAGACTGGGAGGAAATCCATCTTCTGGCTCACTGGGTGATGGCTCTCCAAGTCAGTCATCACAGGCCAGTGGTGGATCAAGCCAGGCCTCTGACTCTCAGTCCACCCCTTCTCGAACAAACAACACACCCCCAAGTATGTTACCACCAACAGCTGGTAGAGAAATCACTAATATGAAAGTAATTTTTTATACGAAATTTGAGTAAGTACCTCTTAGAATGGAATATAATGCTGTTTTATTTCAATTGTATAGGTAGTCTCAATGTTGATCCAGTAACTCCAGATTCTCAAAGAAGCTTGGATATGGATTCTGAGTGCTCAGAGAAAAAGTATGTTTGGAAATTACAATACTACTATACATTGTCACCTCTATAAGTTGCCACCTGTTCAATCACCACACCCACATACCATGATCAAAATGTAAAAAAAGATTTGTATACACACTCAAAAACATTTTATATTGACAAATTCTACCATGATTGCCATCTGCCCCCCCCCCCCTTCTTTAGGTACAAAAAGTCATAATATGTTGATGCTGCAACCATTGGGGCAAACACAGTTGTGTATTTATTACTGGATACCTAAGTTCTGCATCTATAAACCACACAAGACAGACTGACATCACATGACATTAGTTGAATTTCAGATCTCCATTACACATTCTCTAAAAGTACATATTGTGAACAAAGAAATCAATGTTTAATCTACTATCTTTCTACAAAATATATTTAATCAATGTAAGTTTCTTTATTTTTTGGTGAATTTTTGTTGTTATCGCAAGAACAGAGCATGCAGTGAGATGTAATTTGCCAAGGATTGTAGGTCCAGAGATTACCACAGAAAAAAATTCATTCAGATCAATGTGCTCAGTCTAAATTTTCTCTCCACACAGGCATTGCTTTAAGAGCTAGCTGTGCTCATATTTCCTTTATATCTCCCCCAATAACACTGCAATAAGAAGCCACAATTACACTCATGATGGTCTAAAACCATGTATATTGTGTGGTGAATCATAACAAATGTGTACTATGAATATACTGTAGAAGCACAGATTTTCGTAGGGATAAAATTTCGTTGAATTGTCATCTAAAAAGATTTCATGGGCATTAAATTTTGTTGTTTCCAAAGTAATCCTAATCAGTATAGAGTCATATAAAAATTTCATGTTGAATTTAATTTTGTTGATAATTGTTAACAATGGAGTAAACGGAATTTAATTCCCAATGAGTAATTCTGCTTTTACAGTAGGTAATTGCAATAATAGCTTGAATTAAAATCATTTCAAAATTAAAGATTTTTTTTTAAATTGATGTACTAAAAAGGCCAAACTCTTCATAATGCCACCCTTGATATAATGCCAAAAAAGACTGGGACAAAAGTTGGTGATATAGTAGGTTGACTGTATACTGATATTTACAATATCCGTAACACTTCATCTGGCTGATTAATATCTTACTGTATGTTTCTTTAGTTACATTTTGTACTACATAATACATTTTTTTCCCCAGTTCTCAATCACAGATGGATGTAGATTCTGGTATAGAGACAATGGAGGTAGATGATCAGGATATGAAGTTTGAGATAAAGAGGAGAAGGGTAAATACCAACAAAAGAGTTCTTTTTTAACAAATATTTCAATGTCATATGCAGTTATATTCAATATGCATTTTTTATATGATTTATATGTTTGAATTGTCAGGATACTAGTATTGGCTCAGAAGCTACAGTAGAACAGGTGACTGAGGCCGCAGGTCGAGTGTGTCTGGTGTCCTGGAAAGAGGAGAAGGAGGAAGCAGTTTATATACCTGAGCTTGGAGATTCCGTAGATGGAGGTAACTAAATATGTTCTCACTTATGTGGATTTGAATGTTTGTAGGTAAAACAAAATGTGTTTGTGAAACACTGATGCTCCTGTATGCAACTTATAGCAAAGGTTAAACTTTCTCAAAAGCAAATCAGATATGTTGGTACCCAAAGTAAGGTCTTGTCTCGAGAAATATACTTGTGAAATAAGCAAGCCCTAGCAGCAACCATTGAAAAGATAAGGAAAAGGTTTAAGTTTTTTCAAAAGTAGGTCAAACATCAAGGTTAAGGTCAAATGGTCAAAATAAATGGTGCTCAAGGAAAGGCCTTCTCACAAGAAATACACATGTGAAGTATTAAAACCCCAGCACCAAGCATTCGAAAGTTAGGCCAAGGTTAAAGTTTTTCAAAAGTAGGTGAAACTCCTAGGTCAAGGTCAAAGTTGTTGGTATCCAAAGGAAGGTCTATTCATAAGGATTACACATGTGAAGCCTGAAAGCCCTAGCACCAACTGTTCAAAAGTTATGACCAAGGTTAAAGTTGGGTAAAATTTTGCAAAACTGGGTCAAACTCCGAGTTCAAGGTCAAAAAGTCAAATATGATGGTATCCAAAGAAAGGTCTTGTCACAAGGAATACACATGTGAAATATGAAAGCCAAAGTTCCAACCATTCAAAAGTTACGGGTAAGGTTAAAGTTTTTGTGGACAAACAGACAGAAGGAGAGACAGACAGATGGACAGGGCAAAACCTATATGCCCCCAAATCTTTGATTACGGAGGCATAAAAAATAAATTAATGGCTTTAGTGATAATTGTAATAGATGCCAGTTACCGTATTTTAAAGAATATAATACAAATGTACACACTTTTTTCCTAGAATATTTTTTTGTGAAACAGGGGTGTGTATTGTGCACTTCAATAGGTTTTTAACCCCTTTTTCTTCCAGGTGAAGCATTGCTATCACACTATCAGGATTACCCAGAGACACAGTCTATATATAGAAGAGCTGTACATTCATCATCTCTGTGTACATCGTCATTAAAGATGTTATCAATAGATGTTTACACAATCTTGGCCCTTGCCACATGCTTTCACAATCATAGTACCTAAGCAGTGAGACACCTCAATTTAAAAAAAAAAATAATGATTTAATACAATTATTTTGGTTTTAGATAACTCAATGAAAATCCATTTCACCTACACCCCTCTAGGTCTCAATTAAAGCCGTCATTGTTGTGAACACATTCAATTATCTCAGACATCCCCTTAAGTTAAAAAAATTTTCAGCATCTTCAGAGTCATATATACTTGTTTATGGAAAATACGCTCACTGCCGCACAATTTCCATGGGCCTTGGCATAGGGAATTACTTTAAAGTTATCTTTCACAATAAACGACTGATGTTAATTTACCCATCTTAATGCAGCGAAAATTTGGTGGGTAATGATCGAATTTTGCAGGGCACTTATTATTTACTGCACTTATTAATCATAATGACTTTGATCATTATCCTTTTCATAATTAAAGAAGGATCAATTTATTCCACCTTTGTATGTCATTTTTCGCAGCTTTGGGAATGTATTGATTACAACACATTAAATACTTTTTAATTGTAATTTGATTTTATTTTTGTAACATTTGCTATTTATCTAATTAATTTTAAGTTTAAAAATAAGAAATATCAAGTCTTTTAAAACTTTGATGTTACAATAATTCATGCTCTGTTGAAATTAAGATTATTTTCGTTAAGATTACTGAGATATAAAAAGTCAAGATTACTATTAGCTTAAAATAAAGTTATTTAAAACTGTAATGCAGCAATATCTCATGCTTTGTTGAAATGAAAGTTTTTCCGCAAAGATTTCTGCAATATATAAAGTCAAGATGAAAAAAAAAATTCCAAATTTGAAGAATTATCATGCTTTATAAATTTTCAGTACATTATTTTCACAGATTTTTGGTGCAAATTACCGCAATGTTTAAAGTCACTTACCACTTGGTCAAAATTGCTGCTGTTTATCATACAATGGATCTGTGTTTTTCCCCCAATTTTCAGGCCCAGAAGGGGGTGCTTATTTTACACTAATGCATATTATATTTGGCAAAATATGGTAATATGCCCAAAGCCACAGTGACTCATGTATAGTGCTTAAAACCATGTACTTGTTATTGAGCCATTTTTCTTTTCTTCCTTTTCATTAGGTGACAGTAAGGAAATGATCAACCAGGCCTTGATGGAAATGCTGCTGAAAATTCGGGATTGTCCTGAAAACCCAGTGTTGAAGATTCGCCCAAATGTCTCTTATGCTGTATCACCAAAGAAACCAGGATCAAGCCCAAGAGCGTATGTTTATATATCTTAAATCTTATTACTGGTAATTCATTTATTATTTTAAAATGTGAAGAAAAGGATGACCCCCCCCCCCCCCCCCCCCCCGCCCCCACTCCCCAAAGAAAAAAATATTTTTTTAGATCAACAAATTAAAAAACATAACATTCTGCAGCATGTTCAAATTTTCATGTCAGCACTATTGTTTATGTGTGATAGAGTTAGCACCATGATGTCCCCAGATATGCAACCAAAGCGGGAATTTTCTGAGAAGTATCCGCCAGAGAAATGTAAGGAGGTAGAAATGATTAACTACCTGATGGACTGTTACGATAGAGCTGCTCTGGAGGAAAGATTGGCCCCTAAGGTACATATGCATGTTTGTCTTCTATCTTATATCAATTATTGTGTTTTTATCAGTGAACCCCTTTTTACTTTCATAAAGAAAACAAAGAAAAGCTGCTATAAAAGCTTTTGTGATCTTGAATACAAAGAAATGTGTCTTTATGAATCCACTCAGAATCTTGAAATATTTCCCATGATTACTATGTGAAGTAATTGACATTATAGAGAGCTAGTGTACCTCCACTAAGTTTGATGTTGTCCAGTGCCAGAAGACAATGTGTCTGCCATACTGCATTAGTTCTACAAGGAGCACTAACAAAACCCAGGTAAGACAATGTCAAAAGAAGTAAGGTGTTATCCTTTTGAATTGATTTCATTTACAAATACTCCATCCCAATGCAATGAGAAGTAATTTATATTTGCATGTGTAATTTATTTGAGAATCGTTTAGGACAAAATGATCCCTAGCGAGTGTCTGGTATATTTATAGATCTGTTGGTGGTACTTCTCTACTTCTGAACTATCTATTGTCTCACAACTTACCTCGAGGCTTTCTGCCAGAACTTGTACAAACCACATGTAGTGACCCCGATACTTTCACAAGAGTAAGTCAGAAATAGTCATTTTTATCAATATTTAATCATAAAGAAACTGATTCAGTTATTTATTTTTAATGTTTTTTTTTTGCAATTTTATTTTTTTTTTAGAATAATGCCTATAATATTTCTTATGCAATGTAAAGGTATGTGTTGACAAACTGTGATGTCTGTGTAAGGACATTTCATTGAAATTTAAGGAAATCAGCTATAGATGTAGAGTGATGAAATATAATCATCATCTGTCATTGTAAAGAATGAGTGAACATTTTATCTTGTTTTATTTACCAGGTATTTATCCCAGTATTACAAGGTCTAAGTCGACACATCCACTCTATGTCTTTGGACACGGACCAGTACAGGGAACCTTTATCTGTTCTTTCCGAACTCTGTGAAATCAAGAGTGGCAGCACACGGCCCATATGTGGTCTGGTGGGTACCCAAAAACACAAAGAAATGGGATTATCTAATCCACAGTTTTTAGGTCACCTGAGTCACTCAGGTGACCTATTGCTATCTGTTTTCGTCCGTCGTCGTGCGGGCATGCGAGTGTGCGTCGTGCGTAAACTTATCACATTTTCAACTTCTTCTCAAGAACCACTGGGCCAATTTCCACCAAACTTGCCACAAACTATCCTTGGGTAAAGATGATTCAAGTTTGTTCAATGAAGGGCCACATCTTCTTCCAAGGGGAGATAATTAAGAATTAGTGAAAAATTAATGGTATCTTTTAAAAATCTTCTTCTCAAGAACCACCGGACCAGGTAAGATGAAATTTATATGGAAACATCCTCAGGTAGTGTAGACTCAATTTTGTTCAAACCATAACCCCCGGGGGGTAGGGTGGGGCCACAATGGAGGATCAAAGTTTTACATAGAAATATATAGGAAAAATCTTTAAAAATCTTCTTCTCATTCAAGTTTGTTCAAATCATGACCCCCGGGGGTAGGGTGGGGCCACAATGGATGATCAAAGTTTACATAGAAATAATTTAGGAAAAATCGTTTAAAATCTTCTTCTCAAGAACAGCAAAGCCATGATGAGTCATATTTATATGGAAGCATTCTCAGGTAGTGTAGATTCAAGTTTGTTCTAATCATGACACCCCAGGGGTAGGGCGTGGCCACGATGGATGATCAAAGTTTACATAAAAATATATAGGAAAAATCTTTAAAAATTTTCTTCTCAAAAACAGCAAAGTTGTGATGAGTCATATTTATATGGAAGCATCCTCAGGTAGTGTAGATTCAAGTTTATTCAAATCATGACACCTGGGGTAGGGTGGGGCCACAATGGATGATCAAAGTTTTACATAGAAATATATAGGAAAAATCTTTTAAGGTATGTCACTCGTCAGCTTTTTAGAAAAGTTCAGTCAGATCCTTTAACTTCAAAACTATTTATAACATATTTAAATTAAACAATGCAAATTATTCAACATTCAATTAAATAACTGCTCATAAATTCATAAAGAAGCAAGATTTATGAGGAACTATTTCTTGTGGTGGAAGGATATTTAGAAGAAAATTCTTCAAATCTACACATTTGTTAAATTTAATATCTTGGAACTTTAGCCCCATATATTTTAACTTAGAGAATATTTTCCGTTATGATATGCTAGGAATATTAAATATAGGTCTCAATTTATATTTTTAGAACAAATTTTACACATTCACTCAACAGACTTTGTCAAGAAATGAAGATATATTGAAGAAGTCATGATAAAATTTACATCATTTTTTGCCTGAAAATCGCACATTTTGACCAATATCTCAAAATTCACATCACTGACCCCAACTTTTTCTTTCATTATTTTTAACAACCTGATACTTCCAACCGATCAGCACTTAAGTCATAAAAAGTTTGATACAAGAAAATATTTGATTGCCTACTTAGATTTTTTATACCCCAAATGTGATATTTTTTTAGTGCAAAAAGGTCACACAATAATTAATGCGTATTAATTTGCATGAATTGTTCAATTATAAATATTATTCAAACTATTTTACGTAAAATAGGATTATATTTATTGCCATAATTACATCTGATAAAATATGATAAAGATAAAAGTGATTAACCAAAGAGTTACAATTTAAGTGCAAAAAGGTCAACTTAATTATACCGTAGCTCAGTAAGATGCACACTGACCCCCCATTTTCTTTGCGATTTTGAGTCATGCTATATGAGTACTTATCTAAAATATACTTCTCAAAAAATCCTTGATATAACTAATTTCACGAGTGACATACCTTAAAATCTTCTTCTCAGGAACAGCAGAGCCATGATTGGTCAATATATGGAAGCATCCTCAGGTAGTGTAGATTCAAGTTTGTTCAAATCCTGACCCCCCGGGGTAGGGTGGGGCTACAATGGGGAATCAAAGTCTTACATAGGAATATATAGGAAAATTTCTTCTTCTCAAGAACAGCAAAGCCATGATTAGTCATTTTGATATGATCAAAGTTTTACATAGAAATACACAGAAAAAATCTTTAAAAATTTTCTTCTCCAGAACCAAGAAAGATAAAACTTATCTGGAAACATTCTCAGGTAGTGTAGATTCAAGTTTTTTAAAATCATGACCCCCTGGGGTAGGGTGGGGCCACAATGGATGATCAAAGTTTTACATGGGAATACATTGGAAAAATCTTCTTCTCCAGAACCACTGGGCCAAGAAAGATGAAATGTGGAAACATCTTCAGGTAGTGTAGATTCAAGTTTGTTAAAACCATGATCCCCAGGGGTAGGGTGGGCCATGATGGACAATGAAAGTTTCACATTGGAAAATGTAGGAAAAATCTTGAAAAAAAAATTCTTTTTTCAAGAACAGCAAAGCCATGATTGGTTATATTTACATGGAAACATCCTCAGCTAGTATAGATTCAATTTGTTCAAATCATGACTTTGGACTCTGGGGATAGGGTGGGGCCACAACGGACAATCAAAGATTTACAAAAGCTTCTTCTATCAGTTTATTTTATACTCTATGGATCTTCTGTGCATTGTTTTATACTCAGGTAAGCGTTAAGGCCTTTGGGCCTCTTGTCTTGATACTGAAATCTATTACATAATTCATATGTATGCTTATGCAGGCCCATAGTAAGCAATTTCAGTTTTGGGGGGGCACAGCCATACATTTTCAGTTGAGGGGGCACTATCAACTACCAAAATTTCTTGACAAGCAAAAAAAAAAAAAAAAAAAAAAAAAAAAAATCTCATCAGACGTTTTTATTGAGGGGGCACAAGCATATAGTGCATATAGTATCTATGTTTTCTATAGTAATCTATATATCGGCAAAATTATTGGGGGGCACCCCCCCCCCCCCCCGTTCCTACGGCCATGCTATGTGGATTTCATTTCTGCATTGCTTCTCAATGTGGATTGTATTCAGATGCAGATTGCATTAATTACGAAGCTCTGACTGAGATCTATGTCAGTGTAGCAGGTAGACTGACAACTGAATTAACATGAACAAGGGAGTTAATGTATTATCTGGTGAATGTAAATTAACATTAACTTTGAATTGAAAATGTGATGCATGAATGCAAATCAATTTTACATCTGTAGTACTAGTAATTAGGAAAATCTGTTAAGTGTTTTGCTGAAAATAACACTAATAATGATAGATCAGTGCCATTTCTTGGAATTCTGCTGATGTCAATTGAAACCTCTTTTTTTTTTCTTTATGCAAATCATTAGAAAAATGATGTGCAACATATTCTTTGCCCTTGGAAAAATATAAATGGACAAAACATTCTTTATTTTTTAGTTTAATAACCATTAATTTTACTTATACATCATACAATATATAGAATTAGAATTTCAGTTTGGCATCATTAATAAACATTCAGAAACCCATGTAAATGCAATTTGACTTTAGTTCCAAACTGACAATGACACTTCTGAATTCAGAATAGTAAATCTAGTGTGAACAAGGTACTGGTATTAGATGTTTGAACAATGATCTACAATTTTAAGAACCACAAATAAATGCAGCAATTATTATTGGCACCCCAGTCAAAAGTCTCAGGGTCTAAAATATTGGAATACTGCAGTCCTGTTTATCATTAATATGTGTTATTATTGTGAATGTTATTATTTTATTGTAACTGACATGTTGTTTTGTATTACCAGGCTGTACAGCTGTTGAATTGGATCCCAGCCTCCATGACCCAGGCCACGGGTATGGAGTTAGAAAAGCTCTCCTGGCTCGGACCATTCCTAGGTGTGTCTGTGTTTGCTGAGGACAATGTGAGTACTTTTTATACGCCCGTCTTAAGACGGGACGTATTATGTTATAGCGTTCATGTCCGTCCGTCCATCTGTTAGCTTTTTCGTGTCCGGCTCATAACTTTAATACTATTAGGCCTAGAGTTATCAAACTTTGTCAGCTGATGCATCTTTGGTAGGAGGTGTGTTGCGCATTAAAAGTAGGTCGCTCTGACCTTTAATTAAGATGCTATGGCCAAATATGGAAAAATCCTGTCCGGCTCATAACTAGAAAACTATTAGACTTAGATTCATCAAACTTGGCCAATTTATGCATCTTAGATAGAAGGTGTGTCGTGACCTATTTCAAGGTCACTGTGACCTTTAATTTAAGTGAAATTTAATAAAAAAAAATGCCTTTTTACTATTAAATTACACAATCCCAAAAAATGTAAGAGTGTTGCAGTATCCATATTAAAAAAATGTTAAATCAAGAAAATACTTATTTTTTTCATTATATACTGTACAGCAATCTATAACAAATGTAATGTTATAAGAGAAATTCCACCTCTCCCATGGGTTTAATTATCAAGCACTGGTCAAGTAGAATTTTGATAACAGAAAATTGCATGTCAAATTAGAGAGAAATTAATGAGTTTAGTGTGAGGAGCTAACTGGTAGAGTATCTTTGATCAAGCAGGTGTTATCTATATCTCTCGGGACTGGGCAAATGTTGGATTAAATACATGTAGTTCTTGTTCACAGGCTAGCCTAACTTTTAAAATGAATTCGGTGAAAAGTAATTAAAACTAATTTGATTTTGCATAATAATAAAATTTGTTGATATTTTATAACAAACTAATTAATTAAAACTAATTATACTGGGGGGGGGGGGGGGGGGGTTAATATTGAAATCAGCATGCCCATTGTCCATCATATGATTGCAGCTTAAAACCAGCTAGTCTGACATTAAATCTAAAAAAATCAAGTATTTAAAAAAAATGTTTTAATTATGGTAGATAGCCACTACAAATCTAAGAGTCATGCAGGAACCTTATTAATAATGTTGCTTCAAGATGACACAAGTTTTTTTTTTTTAGAAATCTTTGTAACAAATTTTAAAAAAAATCTTTGTTTTCAAATTTAACTTCAGGATGACATAAATATGCATTTTTATTGCACTACAAAGAAAATAGTGCAGATCCATTCATCCCTTGGGAGTAATGAGTGGACATGCATCCAGTTTAAGATTAATTTATGAGTTCAATGTTGAAAGGGTAGCTGTCTCAATCATTTCTGTAAGAGCATCTCTGATCAAGCAACTCTTATCTGTATCCTTTGGAAATTAGACAGAAGTACTGCTGGTCAGTTTATAGCATATGTCATTTGACTGCCAGCCTTTTTATTTTCAAAATTAATTGGGTATAGATTAAGTGGTGAAGACTAAATTGATATTGCTTAATATGATATTTTTATATTTTTAGCTCACCTGAGCTGAAAGCTCAAGTGAGCTTTTCTGATCACCCGTTGTCCATCGTCCGTCCGTCCGTCTGTCCGTCTGTCTGTAAACTTTTCACATTTTCGACTTCTTCTCAAGAACCACTGGGCCAATTTTAAGCAAACTTGGTACAAAGCATCCTTGGGTGAAGGGGAGTTTAAATTGTTAAAATGAAGGGCCAAGTCCCCTTCAAAGGGGAGATAATCAAGAAAATACAAAAATTGAGTGGGGTCATTAAAAAATCTTCTTCTCAAGAACCACTGGGCCAGAAAAGCTGAAACTTAAGTGGAAGCATCCTGGGGTAGTGTAGATTCTAAATTGTTCAAATCATGACCCCCGGGGTTAGGGCGGGGCCGCAATAGGGAATCCAAGTTTTACATTGAAATATGTAGTAAAAATCTTCTTCTCAAGAACCACTGGGCCAGAAAAGCTGAAACTTAAGTGGAAGCATCCTTGGGTAGTGTAGATTCTAATTTGTTCAAATCATGACCCCCGGGGTTAGGGCGGGGCCACAATAGGGAATCCAAGTTTTACATTGAAATATGTAGTAAAAATCTTTAAAAATCTTCTTCTCAAGAACCACTGGGCCAGACAAGCTGAAACTTATGTGGAAGCATCCTGGGGTAGTGTAGATTCTAAATTGTTCAAATCATGACCCCCGGGGGTAGGGCGGGGCCACAATAGGGAATCCAATTTTACATTAAAATATATAGGAAAAATCTTTAAAAATCTTCTTCTCAAGAACCACTGGGCCAGAAAAGCTGAAACTTATGTGGAAGCATTCTGGGTTAGTGTAGATTCTAAATTGTTTAAATCATGACCCCTGGGGGTAGGGCGGGGCCACAATAGGAAATCCAAGTTTTACATTGAAATATGTAGTAAAAATCTTTAAAAATCTTCTTCTCAAGAACCACTGGGCCAGAAAAGCTGAAACTTATGTGGAAGCATCCCTGGGGTAGTGTAGATTCTAAATTGTTCAAATCATGACCCCCGGGGGTAGGGTGGGGCCACAATAGGAAATCCAAGTTTTACATTGAAATATGTAGTAAAAATATTTTAAAATCTTCTTCTCAGGCATCACTGGGCCAGAAAAGCTGAAACTTATGTGGAAGCATCCTGGGGTAGTGTAGATTCTAAATTGTTCAAATCATGACCCCCAGGGGTAGGGCGGGGCCACAATAGGGAATCCAATTTTATATTGAAATATATAGGAAAAATCTTTAAAAATCTTCTTCTCAGGCACCACTGGGCCAGAAAAGCTGAAACTTATGTGGAAGCATCCTGGGGTAGTGTAGATTCTAAATTGTTCAAATCATGACCCCTGGGGGTAGGGCGGGGCCATAATAAGTACTACGGGGGGGGGGGGGGGAATCAGGTGAAAAACAGCAAGTCCAAAGTTACTCAGGTGAGCGCTGTGGCCCATGAGCCTCTTGTTTGAAAATATCAACTAGAGCATCATGTCTCACAAATATGAAAGATGTGTGTGTGGAGGGGGGGGGGGGGGTGGCTGCAGATTGGCATTTGTCAAGCTCTAACACAACCAGCTGAGGATCTATAATGTAATATTTGTTAAAATTAATGCGTACACCACAGGAGATGTATAAACAAATATTATAAGGAATGGAAAAATCATGGAAATCCTTGTACCCGTATCAAGGTTGACATGATTTTCTTGCACTCTAAACTGTTTTTGATAATTGAACAATATTTGACGGGCGTATCATGCTGTGGCGGGGCACTTCATTGTAAACCGCAACTCATTAAAACAAAGAATTTTTTGTTTCTTAAAGTCTGTCTACTCTTTGCCTAATAATATAGACTAAATCCTACATTATTATTTTTTTTTTCAGACAAAAGTTGTGGAGAAGTTTTTCTCTGGTCACCAGCTGTCAGCTGATAGCACTAAACTGATTCATCAGTCTCTACAGCACGGCCTGGAGTATGTTAGGACTGAACTGTTCAAAATCATACATAATATTCTAGTCAATGGATCTAGCAGAGATCTAGCTCTGACTTACTTAGCCACAGCACTGGAAAGAAATGCAAAGAAATCTCAGATACAGGTTAGAAGCAGTTTTAACATCTTATCTAAAAATAGGAGACAAATTATTGAGAGTGGTATTATGTCTGCATAGAACAGGTTTTGGTGCAAGCATTTACATGCAAAAATCAACCTAAAAAGTATAAACACTAGATAGAAATAAGATAATCAAGCAGTAAATTTTGTTAACAGGTGGATGAGAGATATGTTGCTGGAGATGGATTCATGCTGAATTTGTTGTCCGTCCTTCAACAATTATCAGTGAAAATTACTCTTGATAAAGTAAGTACATGTGTACAGAATTTACAACAAGAATAGTCATGTTGATGTGCATTTAAATTTATTGGAAAATGAAAGAAAATTTTTTGCAATACATTTAATATATATTAATTACTGTGTACTTGCATGTATTTTAGTAGGATTTTTACTTGAGTGTCATGCATTGTTACAAGTACTCTAATTCATGACCCCACAAGAAAGAAAGGAATTATGTGTACAGTCATGTATGATGAATGTAAACCTTAACAGCACTATTTATTCCTGGACTTATAAGGCTATTATTTTTAAATGTGCCAAGTTGAATATGTTAGAATGAGTGCACGTACACAACTTATGCTGATATGCTGAGGTATACAACTATACTGTCAGGCTAATATAACTTATGCTGTTATGCCGAGGTATAAAACTATACTGTCAGGCTAATTTGACTTATGCTGATATGTTGAGGTATACAATAAGGCTAATTTCATTACTTATGCTCTTCAGGTTGATACCTACTACCCTTTTCATCCAAACTCAAGAGTCAGCATTAAGTCAGAGACCAGATTAAAGGCCCTTCCACAGCAAGCTGAAAAGTGGATCAAGGATTTGTGTAAGTATTTATACCGGGGTATCTATAAGCAAGAAGTAGGAATGCTTTAACTGGGAGAGTTTTTAAATGTGATTTTCATGTAAGAGGATATTTATTCTCATAAACATCTGACTTTCTGTAAAGCCAAAGGATCGCCCCCATGGCAGGATCCCAAATTTCCCACAGAATGCTTTTTCTTGACCTTACATTGTCACCACCTGTCAATCATTCCTGCAATCCGGAGATATCAGCGCCGCCTACGTGCAATACGTGATCTCAACAGAATGGTGGAGGATCTAGAAAATTCAGAGTCACAATGGAGTCAATTTCCCAATGCTGCCAGGAACAAAGAAATGCTGAAGAAGTGGAAATCTCAAGTTCAGGTATCAACAAGTATAACTCTAATTCATTGCTACAAGCTGGTTTTTTTTCTTCTAGTTTTCACTGAAATGTTGATTTTGAAACCTGCAGTTTTATTTTTGACTATGGGTTCAAATTATATATGCAATTTTCATTACTGCATTTATATTTTTGGTAATTCACTCTTTTATCTTTCAAATTGTTTTAAAATCTACTTTACCTTGTATTTTTTATCTGTGTATTTTTTTTATAACTGTTAAAAACTTTCATATGAGTTGAATTGATCACTTTTCCAGAGATTACAGAAAAGTAAATTGTGTGCAGATGCTGCTGTGCTAGATGAGTCCCTACTTCGCCGTTGTTTAAATTTCTACAGTGTAGTGTGTACATACTTACTGAAAGTTGCAGACCCTGAGAATATGGGGTATGGAGAGTCTTTATTATACCCCCGCTCCGAAGGAGAGGGGGGTATACTGTTTTACCCTTGTGTGTCTGTCTGTCTGTCCGTCTGTCTGTCTGTCTGTCTGTCCGTAACAAACTTTGGTCGCAGTTTTCTCAGCAACTACTCATCAGAGGTGCTTGAAATTTTAACACACTCTTTGTTTAGGCATGCCATATGGTGGGATTCATTTTTGTATGAATTCGATGTCAACTTCCTGTTTATCCGTGCGTTTGTCCGTACCATACATAAAAAAATTTGGTCGTAGTTTTCTCAGCAACTACTCATCACAGATGCTTGAAATTTTAGCACAATCTTTGTTTAGGCATGCCATATGGTGAGATTCATTTTTGTACTAATCCGATGTCAACTTCCTGTTTATCCGTGCATCTGTCCGTATCACACATAACAAACTTTGGTCGCAGTTTTCTCAGCAACTACTCATCACAGGTGCTTGAAATTTTAACACACTCTTTGTTTAGGCATGCCATATGGTGAGATTCATTTTTGTACTAATCCGATGTCAACTTCCTGTTTATCCGTGCGTCTGTCCGTACCACACATAAGAAACTTTGGTCGCAGTTTTCTCAGCAACTACTCATCAGAGGTGCTTGAAATTTTAGCACACTCTTTGTTTAGGCATGCCATATGGTGGGATTCATTTTTGTATGAATCGGATGTCAACTTCCTGTTTATCCGTGCGTCTGTCCGTACCATACATAACAAATTTTCGTCGTACTTTTCTCAGCAACTACTCATTGCAGATGCTTTAAATTTTAGCACAATCTTTGTTTAGGCATGCCATATAATAGGATTCATTTTTGGAACAAATCCGATGTCAACTTCCTGTTTATCCGTGCGTCTGTCCGTACCATACATAATAAATTTTCGTCGTAGTTTTCTCAGCAACTACTCATCGCAGATGCTTGAAATTTTTTCTTTGTTTAGGCATGCCATATGTTGGGATTCAGTTTTTACAAATCTGATGTCAATTTCCTGGTTATCACTGTGTTTGTCCATAACTGAACTTGTGTATTCACTTCAGAGCGGGGGTATTATTAGTGAGCATTGGCTCACAGACTTCTTGTTTCTTCCAATAAAAAAAAAAAAAAACTTATTTTTATTTGCAGTCTTTTAACTAGTTTTGATCTTACATTTATTTTATTCTCCCCAAAACAATTTAACTCACTGAGAAAAAAATATACAATAAAAAAAAAAGTAAGCAATATTCAAAAATGTGAACTTCATTTTTGTGTTTTCATTTTAGTCAAACTCTACCATTGTCCAGAAATGTGCCAATGCCTTTTGGAGCTCTTCCTGATTTCTACTTAGAAGACATTGCTGATTTCCTCCTCTTTATTATCCAGTAAGTCATTATATCACTGCAATGTCAATATGATTTCTACTTAGAAGACTTTGATGATTCCCTACCCTTTATCTCCACCAAAAAAAAAAATGTTGCAAATCTAACAACCGAAGACATATCAAGAAATATTTTTAAAGAATTATTTTACATAATAAATGATTATTTTTCCTTTAAAAAAATCCGAAAGAAAAGGTTTAACAAATAAATATTGGAAATATTACCCTCTCAAAAATATTAAGGTTTATATATGACTGTCTATTATTGCATGAAAAAGTACCCGGTATACTCTGACATAATATTTCTTGCTTACCTTCAGATTTTGTCCAGATGTCCTGAATGACCCCTGTATGAAGCAGATCATACACATGTTGATTGTAATGGTGTGTAACAATGAGTACATAGGTAACCCCTACCTGACAGCCAAGCTTGTCGAGGTGCTCTTTGTCATGAACCCCAGCGTACAACGCAGAACAGGGACTCTCAATGAACAGTTCTTACTCCATCCTCTGGCTCTCAAACACCTGGTACCAGCTCTCATGAAGTTCTACACAGGTAATGTTTTGCATAAACTCTTTCTAAAGGAGCTAATGCTTAGCTCTTAAGAAATAGAATTATGTAGATCTGAATAATTTAAAGATTGACTGATATTTCATATGACATGTATTGACCTGGCATGACCATCATGTAGTCTAATTTGGTTCAGATCAGAATTGTATAATTATAATATGTTGTTCTCTCAACAGATATTGAGACCACTGGAGCCAGCAATGAATTTTATGACAAGTTTTCCATCCGTTACCATCTCAGTATCATCTTTAAGTCAATGTGGCAGACTCCACAACACCAACTGAACATGATAGAGGAGGCTCAGTAAGATTTAACTATTGTTTTGAATTAACCAGTTACAGTTTGTGTTTGCCTAAGATTTGTGTATGATATTGTACATGAAATGTCAAGCAAAGAATTTAAATATAACATGTTACTTCTATATTGCAAAATATAAGATTTCTTTGATGTTCAGAATATAAAGTAAGCTTGTATATATGATGTTTGAATGTTTCTTTCAGGAATGGTAAACAGTTTGTGAAGTTTGTGAACATGTTGATGAATGACACTACGTTCCTGTTGGACGAAAGTCTAGACTGTCTGAAGAGGATCCATGAGGTTCAGGAGGCCATCCAGAACATGGAGGAATGGGAGAGGCAGCCAAAGGTCAGGCAGGGAGGGGATACTTAAGGAATCACTGTCTAGTTAGTAGAGTATGCCAGGGGATCAATGATAGTTGGAAACGTGGGATAATTTGCATAACGGGCAAAGCCCATTATGCATAAATTATCCCATGTTTCCAACTATCGTTGATGTCCCTGGCATACTCTACTAACTAGACAGTGATTCCTTATATTTCCATTTCATTGTGAAATAAAATTGTAAATTTAGATTTTAAAAATGTAGACTAATAGATTTAAATTACACGAGGCCTCACATGTCAATTTCAATAATCCCCGCCCACTGACGTCAAACACAAAGACAGCCGCACGAAAATTACATGCATATTAGGCCTCCTTAAGAGTCTGATACAAAGACAGCCGCACAAGAATTACAAGCATATTAGGCCTTCTTAGTTCCTGACCTTTCGCTTGGCGAAATCTGCATTACGGTGGAATGATCAAGAAATCAACTCTCCTAACTTTTAAAGAGTTATCACAGAGAAAACAAATAGAAATGGAAATATACTGATATTTTGGGGCAATTTAAATGAATATTAATAGAGGCTAACATTTATATTGTATTGAAGATCTAAAAAGTTATAGCAGTATAATTTGTTTTGTAATATTTCATGTTTTTGCCTTGTGAGTACAATTAAAAGATTGGAAGTGATTTGCTATTTCTTGTTTGAAGTTAGAAATGAGAATAGTCTTATATATAGGTTTTTTTTAAAACATATATGAATATGAAAGCATATAAGTGTAAAATGCTTTTCAGATCCCAATATTAATAATAGTCCAGTCAATCTATCATATAAAATTTGTTTTGTATTGTGACAGGAACAGCAGCAGTCCAGACAGAGACAGTTGGCTATGGATGAGAGACAGTGTCGATCTTACCTCACTCTGGCTACAGAGACTGTAGATATGTTCCAGTATCTCACAGAGAAGATTAAGAAACCCTTCCTCAAACCTGTATGACCATTCTCTGAAACTTTCTGAATTAATGAATAGGATGAAGACTTAAGACATTTAAAATGATAATCTTGATATAAAAATATTTTAAAGTATAAACATTTGATAAAATATATGAGATGGAGAAATAAATTATTTCTCTCATGTCTTAATGATTTATACTCAGTAACAAGTATAAAAGTAAATGTTTCAAATAAATTATACCTTTGTAGGAACTAGCTGAACGACTGGCAGCCATGTTGAATTTCAATCTCCAACAGTTGTGTGGTCCGAAGTGTAAAAATCTCAAGGTGAAGAATCCTGAGAAGTATGGCTGGGAACCAAAGGAATTGCTCAATAGATTGACAGACATTTACCTACATTTAGACTGTGATGAATTTGCTAATGCCATTGCCAATGATGAGGTTAATTATTCTATTTTATTATTATTATTTTTTCTTTTTTATGGAGAAATGATTCTATTTTTTTTTTAATTGAAAAATGAGTCTGTTGTACCAATTTGATTTTATGCAAGCACATGCGATGTTAAAAAGAATCTCTTATTTCTTTGAATCATTTGCTTTAAAATATTCATCTTTATTAAAGAAATTTGCTTTCTTCCTTGTAGAGATCTTATCGCCATGAACTTTTCAATGATGCAATTGCCAGAATGCAGAAAGCTATGATTAAGACTAATGTGGAGATAGAACAGTTCCGCTTCCTTCAAGAAAAAGTTGACAAAATTGTGGTAGAAAAGCAGAAGGCAGAGGTAGATTATGGAGATATACCTGAAGAATTTAGAGGTCAGTTTTGGATGTAATACAATAAAACAGTTACAGCGAACATGCTTATAATGAATTCACACTTATGGTATAGTAATTGTCATTTCAGTTTAAAAAAGTATTTTTAACTTATAAGATATTTAAGAAATAAGATATCATTTTTAGAGTTTCATTGGGATATGACATGAAGTTGGTCACTTGACCAAATCCTATAACGCCGAAAGGGCGATTTGTAGATTTGGTCACGTACCAACTTCATTTCATATCCCATTGAAACTCTAAAAAATGATATTTTATTTCTTATATTTATATTTTATACTTTTATTTGTGTTACAAAGAAAAATACGCTTAATTTACACTTTGTTATGAAAATGCAACGACGTCATGTGACGTCACAGTCAGAACTTTCCAAATGACTCGCGTAGTTTACTTTCTATACGCAAGAAAGTCTGATCACATGACCAACTGCATGTCATTGAACATTGAATGTCAATTTAATTCGTATTGTCATATATTGCAAATGTAAATATAATGAATTACATTTATAACAAATCACTTTAATGTGTTTCATTGTATGAATTTTGGGAGAGGAAGGTGGGAAAAGGGGGAGGGGGCTTACAATCCCATCAGGTTTTTTTCCTGCATGGTGATTAACTGAATCCACATTTATTTATTTTCAAGAATTTTTGTATTGAAAGAATTAATCCAGAAATCATGAAATAATTACCATATTACAACATGTAATGTAGAGGCTTCATTTTCTTTTTATGTAACCTTTTCCTTTGTTCCTTGTTTTTCAGATCCCCTGATGGACACCTTAATGTCTGATCCAGTCCTCTTGCCTAGTGGTGCCATCATGGATCGACCAATCATAAGCCGGCATTTACTGAACTCTCAGACTGACCCATTTAATAGACAACCTCTTACAGAAGAGCAGCTAATACCAGGTGAGATTTTTAAAGTGCTCTTTAGAGTATTAGCTTTCTGTGATTAAAGCATTTAAGTAAGAAACAAACCACCACCAGAGATAAATTGATATGCAAGTGCAATTATTAAGTACCACTCAAAGCAACCAATCAAACCATACTTCTAAAATTGCATTATTGTATTGCATTCTTATCCCAAGCTAGTACGAAAATAATAACCTTATGTATAAAATCAATATTTTAACCGTTTGTTCTAGAAAGATACAAATGTGAAAATATAAAATTTGACCCTCATGTTAAATATTTATTCCAAATGTATTCAGCTAATCTCTTTATTAAACCTTTATTTTAATTCAGCCAACGATCTCAAGAAGAAAATAGAAGCTTGGAAGCAATCAAAAAGAAGATAATCCTTGACAACAGAAATCAACACCATCCATGTGTTCCTTTAGTTAGTTTCATGTCACTAGAGAATTAGTCTGCTCTTAAATTGTTTCCCCTCCCCCCTAAACAGTAGATAGCTACGTTCTGTGAGTCTAACAATGTCTGTCAGTTAAGACATACCCGGTACATTAATATTAACTGGCTGATACGTATAATAGTTTAATATCTGAGAAATATTTTGAAGCAAGTTTATTGTTATAACAAGGGACTGTCAAACATAGAACATATCAAGTTATTAATATGTTTGAAAATAAGATTCAACAGATTTTTTTATTTCATTGGTTTGGTTTTCCACAGCATCTGATGGAAGATCTTGATTAATTTTTTTTTGGTACAAAATATGAAATATTAATGAAAACAACTTAAAATGGGGAATGTATTGTTTGATATTTATGGTGGTTTAGATTTTAATTGCAGACCAAGAGCTTTCTAAGAATCTACTGTGATCTTGTTTGCATTTGTTGACAAGTGTTTCAGTCAAATGAACAAATGTTGATTGAACACTGCTCACTTTAATAGAATGAACAGTTTCAGTTGATTGAGGAGACTTCACGTAAGTCTCAGCTTTGTTCCTCTCTGCGCTCGTTTAGTGAGTTGAACATATTATTTGTAATCTCTATGTTATACCAGTAATCATTATTATCCAATTTCTTACCGTGTGAGAAAAAAATATAATACAGATGGTTCTTAGTGAAACCTCAGATAACTGCTTCTGATTTTAATGTGATTATCCTGTTCCATGTTAGAATTTTTTTGTGTGGTCAACTTGATGTCTGTACCTCAAACATTTTGTTTACTGCTTTATGACTTCTGTATTGCTTTGTTTGAAGTGGCTTGTATTTCCCCATGTTTACAGAGATACTATAGACCTTGCATGACATGTTTTATGGTGAAAATATAAACCTCACACTTTTTGTACACCATTTGAAGTTTCTTTCACGAAGAATCTCCATGATAAGAGAGGCGGTACTATTGACATCTCCACATTGCCGCTATATACAGTTGATGCAGGTAGAGGTAACATTGTCCAACCCATTATTTTGTTTTGATGTGATAAATGAGAAAATGTCCAAAACTTCATTTTGTTTTGATGTGTTAAATGAGAAAATGTCCAAAACTTGAAGTTCTAAAATATACCATTTGTTCCCATCTTGAATGCATTTAAATTGTGTCATGTGTGTTTTTTTTATTTACCATGTGTGAAGTTGTACCATCAATATCAGGAACCTAAACAGTTACAAACATATCAGTGTTACTAGTCATCTCGCGGCATAAAACTAGCGTTTGTTATATAGAAGAAAATTGTTAATGCTTTCGTGAGGGCATAATTGCAGAACTTTTTTTATCATGTGTTGTAAATGTATGTGCTTGTGCTTCTGGGTCAAATTTTCTTAAGTTTTTGTTCCTGATACAGTCTGTTGCAAATTATCTTCCGTTGCTTTTCATTTCCTACATCAAGTAGAAATCCTTTTACCAAATAAAACTTAATTTGAGAGATCTTAGGAAAGAAAAAAATCTAACGATTGATATAAAATTTAATAAGGTATATTCCTTGAGTCTTAAACTAAGAAACTTATTCCGACATTTAAGGTTTTTTTGATGCATGATTGTGTATTAATGTATATACATGTAGTGAGGCTCTGAGACAACATTGCTTTGCTCATGACCATTAAGTTTTCTGACAAGCTTGTGTGTGTGTGTGCTATAACCATTCTGTGATTGTTTACGTTTTCATCTTTTTGTGATTTGTTATTTATACATGAAAATACTGTTGTATGTACAAAGGAATTTTCTGGGACAAAGACTGGGAAAAAAGTTTGATGTTGATAAATTGTAAATGGCTGCAATAAAGTAATTAAGAGAATTAAGATTGGTAATTAATTTCATATACACTGTACAAAGAATGAATGTTTCTTTGAGTGAAAAGATGAATTTTAATTCACACCAACAATATACAAAGAATGTCCTTTGCTGGCAAAAGTTGAACTCTTCAGTGTTAGGAAGTTTGAAAAGTTATTTGTGCCTTGATCAGTGAACTGTTTTAAGAAGTGATGGTAGATATACTTGTTTTCCTTGACATTTCACCAGTGATAGCTGATCCACTCGCTTTCCCAACACTGCCAATCGCTGAAAGATGTGCAAATTTAAAATATACTTAGAGAACCAAGAAATAAAACAGTATTTCTGATTAACTGAAAGAACCTTGAAATTACAAACTCTCAGATATCATCACAACTTTCATGTATTTACCTTAATGACTGTGTTAGTTAAATGTTACCTGGTGCAGATAAGGCCCTAGCATAAACCTTCTTTCTTTCAATTTTTCTTTCCTACAAAGCACAACAATTTTGTTAGAAAAGGACAAATGTGAAACTTTTGAAGAAATGCTGATTAATAATGTTTGTGTGCCTTTACAGACTTCAAAGTGAAGAATCACAAAGCATGAAGACTTGATATATACTCACAAAAACTAGCTGTTTGCGGAGTTCTTGAATCAATGCGTTATAAGAACTGGATTTCACACGATAATAAAGTACAAGGAGACTGAAACATATACCAACAGCATTTAAAGCTACAATATGTGAATAAACTTCATCACAAAGATGATACTGTATACAAAGCCATAAATATTAACGTTTCCAAGTCCAAATATTTACATGAAAGTGTCAGATTAACTTGGTCTGCTTATTTTGCAATTTTACTTTTGATGCTTTATTGGAAATTTTGTAATCCTCAGACTCACATTAACACCACTATGATTGGAACAATCACAATGGCCGTGGCAATATAGTCTATGGCGTCCTTGACCCAGTCCAACCAGCTGGGAAGGTCATTCAGAGAGTCAAACAGATCTATCACTTTGTATGCCCTGTCTTTGTTCTCAAAAGGACCGCAGTACCAAGATGGTGTCTTTCTTTTATCGCATAAAATACAGATATGAAGATAAGAAATAAAAAGCTATTCATTAATTTAAAACTATCTACAGTAAAACACGCTTATAACGAAGTGCCAGGGACGATCAACTTTGTAATAAATGTGTAATTATTTCATATCAAACTTTGTCAAACAAAAGTGTTAAAACTTCAGGGAGTGAAAATTTCGCTGCTGTATGCGTAAATTCATTATACATGTTATAGGTGTAGCCGTGTTTTACTGAATTATTTTCAAACACGATTTTGTAAATGTGGTAATAATATAAAACATCTTACTCGATAAGAACATAGACCACTGGAATAAAACACAACATCCACGTCAGCAGTAACAGAAACAAGTAAAAGTTGCCAGATCGGGACGCCCGGAACATTTTCTTGGGCGGAATGTTGGCAAAGCGTGCCACAAAATACCGAAAATAGAATACAATGAACAATTTGACGGTCGCTACCAGCGCCATTAATGGCGAGAAATAAAGCGCCAGCCATACCAGGCCTTGTCCATACACTAGATCCAGAACGTTTGATGTCACTGCAAACTCACTGTAGTTAATCTGTAATGTAAAATGTGTTATTAAAATGGTTCGATTTTTAGGCACTTTAAAAAATATACTTCAGCGATTCAACTGCAAATTGCCAAACGGGAAGAAATAAGCATTCGGCAAATGAAAATGAAAGAGGAGAACAGCTTTTTTTTCATTTTACCGATATCAAGCTTCAGGCAAAAGAAATGACCAAAATGCACCTTTTGCCGTGTAACAAATCGCTGCATACCTGGCAGCAGCATGTCCTAGTTTTTATGAAAATGGCCTTTACAACATGGAACAGAAGTCCGACCGCGATGCACACTCCTAAATCCACCAGAATGAGTTTAAAAATCTCTTCACCCACGACATTTTCCCAGCAGCAATAAGTGATGAGAGATGAAGCGTTAGTAGGTGGGGAAGAAGTGGCACCGGTGGTACCAGTAAAGGGGAGGGTAGTGGGGGATCTTCTCCCTGGTGTCTAGAAATGGAAATAAACCAAATTTATCTGTTTTATATCAGCATTTACCAGTTTACTGTACACCACACTATATGCTTGATCAGAACGGAGCCAAATAAAAGTTTTATTCACCATGGTGTACTTCTGAAATCAATAGGCTAGAATAACCTTACTGTGCTTGTCTGTGGGTTCTGTACATTGGCACATTCCGCTTTCTTTGTGAGTGAAACAATAAACACTATCAAACTTGCGTAATAGAAAAATGTTGTTCTGAAATGAATTTAACAAATAAAAATATAAGCTGGTTTAAAGTCATTGAACACTTTTTTTCAGTTGTTAAAGCAATTTAACGCCCTCACCTTGCAAGTGTAAATTTCAGTTCTGTACGAGGGTGATAGCTTTCTATTTTCACCAGGAGTTCGAAGATGAATGGAACAAAAAGTTTCAGGAAGGCTACAACAACCGCCAACTAGTGAAATACATAATATGTACATTAACCGAATACTGTACTACACTTAATGTATTGCAGTTTGATTAACATTACAGGTAGATGCTCCAAATCTTTACAGAGAAAGAACGGACTTGTCAACGCGCTCGAAAGTGTAAAATTGGGGTACCATACCTAACAACGCTTTCTAACACTCAGATATGAATCTCTTAATTCTTTGATTTTTTTTAAAGTAAAAGAATATAAGACTTGCCCGGTATCGTTCGTAGATTTTCTGTACAAGATCCTCTGGTTTGTCATCCAGTTCAATTTCCTCCTGACTCGTTTCTTTCTCAGCGACATAGTAGATTAGGAAGCCGCTGCCTCCCAGCAACCCAAGCACTAGTATGTTACTGACCAGTCGACCAAAATACATACGAAGTCTGAAACAGGCATTAAGTAGCCATATAAAGTAAATTAACTGGTTTGTGTGCTCGTGAAAAAAAGATCTGAGCGAATTACCTCTTTATACAGTCAACTACTTCTAAGGACTTTTCTTCTCGTATCTTTTCCTAAAGAATAACAATATATCAACTAAGCGTAACTTCTTTATGTTGCTGCTTTTTTGTCTAGCAGATTTATACTTATTCTGATATAATGCCTCACTTTTAAGTGTGTGCAGAATGCTTTAAGATGATCCTTAACACCGTCCTTGGTGTTAATGGTGAAGTCAAAGTAACAGAGGGTGGACCACGTGAACGGGAAATCACTGCCCGTGTCTGACAACTTGCTTCTTCTGTATCGCACGTACATGCTGGAACAAAAGCAAAAGCAATTTCCCCCACGATGAAAAAAAAAATGATGAAAAGGAAATCTTTATTAAAACGTACAAACATATCGACTCTATTATTCGAAACGTTCTAGAGAGAGGGAACATCAAACAAACCTTGATGCAAGGTACAAAACGGTCAGAAGATTCACGGATATCCAGGTCAAAAAGTAGGACAACGGAAGGTTGAATCCCTCCACGTCATCCCTGTAAATCCCATAGAAAAGCATACTGTATGACAGATCTCCCTACAAGGGAAGAAAACTTTTAAGTTCTAGAATAACTATTATATCTTGTTTAATACATGTACTCTCTCTCTCTCTCTGACTTACAAAATGTCCAAAAGTAATATTTCTGTTTTCTCTTTGATCCAGTAAAAACTCGCCGGTGGTAATCTACGAATAAAATAATTAAATTGAATCGTAAAGGATGCCGATAAACCGGTTATACTGTACTAATACCTGTACGCGTAATGTCATTACCTGTGGTACTCCGGTAAAGGAAAATAAAATTAGCCCTGTGAGCAAGTTCAGGAAAAACAGAGTCCTTAGAAATGTGAAGTAGGAAGCTACTGTGCTGCCAAAGTAAGCTAAAAGGAAGAAAAAAGAACAACTGTATATATAGTCTGTGCCGAGAATTTCGTTTTTTTTTTTTATTTCGTTTTAAGGGTTAACAATTTTGTTACATGATACATGTAACTGTACCTGTTAATTTGGTTATGGAGGATTCCCAGAGGCGAAAGAAGACGGTGTTGTTTTTCCTTGACTAAATATAAAGTATTACGAATGAACGATCTCTAGTATTTGTCAATTTTTTTTTACTTGGAATGAACAAACACTGAATAATATTGAAGCTTTCTTTGGATGGAGTACATTGAAGACATACTTTTGAGCTGATGTACTTTTTGGAAGCTTGTTCTCTTCGTCTATTGACATGATCCGTAGTTAGTATTCTGTATAGATATACAAGGAGATTAAACAAATATTAAAGGATAAATAAAACTCTCCATATTATATATGTTATATACATAAATTAATTCTACTTGATATGTATTTTTGAAATATTTTTAGAGTTAACATCTAACCGTCGAAGTCTTAATTTTTGCCTCATTGGCAGAGGAACCTCTCTAATTCCTTCCAAAATGTCCTCCTTGAATTTCAGCTTGTCCTGTCCCGTTAGACGAGCTTGGGATTCCGATATAAGGTGTTCCGAATCCAAACTAAATACAAACCACGTCTATACGTGAGCATCTTATACAGTATATGGGCAATTTATAGACAATGGAAATTGATTTCATGTCAAATACTTAAATTGTTGAAATATTTTGCTGGGATTTTGTGAGACATCGAGAACTTACTCTGGGTCAAGAAAACCATAGCGAAGCCGATATAAAATATCAGAGGCGGATTCAGTTTCTCCGACACTTCTACCACTGTTGGAGTCTAATAATATATCACAAGTTTTCACTATATATGAAACAATATTAATTCTAGCAAACGAAATGTAAAATAAGCTATATTCTACTTTTAAGTTTACTGTTAATTGAAAAAAAATCCCTTCATGCTCCTTATTGTAGATCACACGGCCGTAGTATACTACAGAAACAAAGCTACTTTATGAAAGTGTTTCTTCAATAATTACATCTGATGTTAAGGAATTTCTGCTTGGTAGTGCCACCCCCCCCCCCCCAACTTATCGTGCCTCCCCAACTGAAATTGTTTCCTATGGGCCTGATCATACAAACAAAAGAGAAATCAGTTTTATTCGATTTAAAGTGGGTGCTTACGGTTATACACGTACATTTATAAGAAAATAGGTAAGACGATCTGTATAGCTACATCGGAAACCTATAGCACCTACCCTCTATCCCGCCATTTTCCAGTTCTTCGTATTTTTCAGAGAACGCAGAATTGTCATATTCGTACTCTTCCGTACTGGTGTAGGCAATGTCATCCCTCCCTCCGTAATTTCTTCTTTTATGTTGACCCTTTTCTTTTGGAAACAAAAGGGAGTTCTCATTGAATTCCATACTCCCAAAAATCACGAAAAACTACATATCCATTGAAGTTTTTGGTATGACAAAACTTTAAACTACAACTTCCTATATCTGAATCAAAACAATCCACATGATATCTTATCAATAATAAATCAGTGATACTGATAAATGTGCGGCTAATTTACATTAGGTCCTCTCAGTCTGATAGGAAAGTGATGTGACTCGTGACCCCTCTCCCTGGTTCAAATTGGATTTTTTAATGGGACGAGGAGGGATCAGCTGTTGGTAGATATAAAAAATACTTACAAGATTTCGTATTTGGTGGACAAAAACACGCTTGTAACGAAAGGGAGGATGTCCAGCACAAGCACCTGTGAAACTAGACTAAATTTATGAAGCAAGCACCAACTAAAGCAAATACTTAACCAGTGACGCAGGAAACCATCAAAATATCGAGAATACTACTGATCTTATATTTTGTCACACAATAAATTCAAATTAACACTTGATACTCATATATGTAAGTATTTTGTTCTTTTAAGTTAAAAAAATTCATAATCATGATAATGCAGTTTCAATGGGAAACAGAGGGCAAATAAAATTTTGTTAGTTAATTTCGTTAGCCTTGTGGACAGCGCTCACATGTAGTCCAAGGTAGACTATGGAGAATCTAACAGAATTTTTTTTTACGTGTCTATTTTAAGATAATTCCCTGCCTGATCTCATTTTAGACAACCCATTGTAGATAGATTATGTTCATATTACGTTTGTTTTTCTTACCTAGTCCTTTGTTATAAATCAATATGACTAGGAAAAATTGACAATCTAAAACGGCTTAATGCACCCCCACCCTCCCCCAATTTCGTATTTGTACTGGTATGCTCAACAAGGAACAGCAGTAGTTGCTAAGAACTTAACTTTAGAATTGACTTCTATTTTAAACCACGACAAAAGCATCTCATTATACAGCAATTACAATCGCTTTCAAAAGAAAATAAGAAAAGTTCAAGCAAAGCCTTTTATTACGTTAACACTTCTGCAAATAAACATTTTAAGGGAACAATACGGCAGTTAGCATGCACGGTAATAGATTCCTACTCCTCTACCTAGCAAGTAGGGTACCAGTTAAAAAAAATTGAGTATAAAATCAACATATCAGCACACTTTCAACAAAATATTAAATCTACATTGTACACATGGATAAAGGATCTATTATCAAACATCTTTGTTGTAGACTTCATGTTGACAACTTTGAGATACACAGATCAATACAAGAGGTACATTAAAGAACAAGGACCAAATACAGAAATCTGAGTTTGTCTTTATACAGACAGAACTCTAGCACTTTTTCTGTGATGGGAAATGGGTTTGTTTGGGAAACATAACCCCACTCACACCATTTACACACATCTAACACTTTCAGTAACAAATAAGCAAAAACATTCATCTGTTATTACAACTCAATTTTCTAGGACAGCAATCCAATATTCCATAATTTCACATTTTCTACAGGACATACATAAAAATTCTAAAAGTGTACACACAGTGATCAAACAGGAAGTTTTTCATTCACTCCATCACACCCACCATCCACACACACACATTCCAAAATTGCCAACAAAGTAGAGAGATATAACTGTTTCTTACATCCTTTCAATCCACATCAATCAGAAACATTTCAACAAAGACAAGTTTTTGAGTTGTCTCATTCAAAGATCAACTCTAGCACTAATTTGTCTGGGAGAGGATAAAAAATATTTCCTTGTGTGGACATCAGAACCACATGTATTACTGTTACTGAATAACCACATATAGTTAGTATTATACATCATTAATAGTTACAACAAGGTAAACAATCTACACTCAATAGTAACATGGACTTACAGAACTTAATAACTGGTGAATTCATTTATCAACATTCAAGACTAATGCATTTTTTATCACATATATATAGACAGAACATCTTCCATCCTGCACCATTTGTACCATATTTTCAACATAGGGTATATGTAGAATTTGGGGTAAAACAAAAGTTAACAACCAAACAACTCATCATGTGTGCTGAAATGTTGATTTTTTTCCTACTTGGAATGTTGTTCTTGTGTTTTAAAGTCTTTATTATGATAGTGTCTCAAGTTCCTATAAAGCAAACATTAATCAAAAACAGCAATTGTAAAAAAAAAAAAATCTCATAAATACAAGAATATGTTATCTAAACAAAATAAGTGTCTTAAGATTATGCTAAATTTCTAGTAAGGGTAGCGGAATTTTTCCCCGGCAAATTTGGCTCCTGCCCCTAATTCCTCCTCAATGCGGAGAATCTGGTTGTACTTGGCTAAACGTTCAGATCTGCATGGGGCACCTGTTTTAATCTACAAAATAATAGCACAGTGTAAAAACTTGGCTCTTTCAGAAGTATTCCTTAACAATTTTTCTGGTGCATCAACTATCTAACACTTAAACCATTTAAATGGAACAACAGACAAGAGTAATTCATAATATGACTGCCAAAATATCCCACTAAGATAAAATTTGAATTCTTTACCTGTCCGGTACACAGCCCAACTACAAGATCTGCGATAAATGTGTCCTCTGTTTCTCCACTTCTGTGGGACACCATTACACCCCAGTTGTTGTCCTTGGACATTTTCCATCTGTAATGAACAACAGTGCTTATGTGTGTGACTTCATACCATTTCATAACAAATAAAAGCTTCTACACATCTAATGACTCTAAACTTGATCTATTGTTGTAATGATACCTCTAAAACAAAGATTGTATAATGTATGAAATGTAACCTCAGGATGGAATATGACCTCAGATTTCAAGAAACTTATCAATAAGAAGGAGGCATCTTTGCTGTTAAAATTTGTGCCATTAACTCCAAATTGAAACTTATCAATAAGAAGGAGGCATCTTTGCTGTTAAAATTTGTGCCATTAACTCCAAATTGAAACTTATCAATAAGAAGGAGGCATCTTTGCTGTTAAAATTTGTGCCATTTTAACTCCAAATGTCTCCCCTATTATTGGAGCTTTAGCACTCCAGTATCTTACGCCTGAATTGACTCTGTGACACTGCCGATTTGGTTGACCTTCAGCAGGAGACAGTTACAAGCCTTGATGTCAATACCCTTCTGGACTCGCTTTGGATTTGTTACCAGTAAATCATCTCTGGAAAGTGAAATCAGATCATTTGTTGATGGCTATATGGATTCCAAAATAAATGTTATATCCTTTTTACACTACTTCCAAGACATGAACCTATCAAATTCTAAATACCTTAAGAAAACTTAATACATGATGTATATTACAGCTGCTAAAATTATGAATTTTTATGGAAAAAAAAAACATGCTTACTTTTAAGTGTAGCAAAGTGCCAGGGACTAACAATTTAGATTTGTTATAGATCTGTTAGGTTCATGTGTTTTAAAACTACAGGGAAAATGAAAATTCTTTTGCTGTAAGCATGAATTCATTATAAATGTGTTCAACTTTACCCACATTTTATTGTATCATGACTTTATTGTTAACTCACTTGAAAATCTTTGCATCTTATCTGGTTACCCCTAAGTTTTTAGCTATGAGAAAACTTATTAAATGGTAAAATTTTTACAGATTGATCTTGACAATTTACAGAACATGTGTCTCACCCTACTATTTGGATTTGTACTGAGGCTGTTAGTTTAGAGTAAGCTTCCCAATCGTCCTGATCATAAGGATCCTCAATGGAGACAATTGGATAATTGGAAACAAAGCCTCTGTATATATCTGCCAACTGGTCAGAAGTTATCTGTCAAACAGAAATCATTGTCAATTTGGAGAAATTAAATTGCCTTAAGTTTAGCATTGGAATTTATGTATATATGTCATACTTTTAACAAGATGAGCTTAAACTTAAGATATGGCTCCACAATGTGATGTACACAGGTATAGAAGAAAGTTCAAGAAGAGGAATGCTATATTTTTTCTGTTCTGTAATCTCAATATACAATGTTAGAGTTCATTTCAAAGGTGATTGCAAAGAAGATTAAATATTATATTTACCCAATCAGCTGGATTAGACTTTGGATTTTTAAAGTCTAGGTCATATTTTCCCTCCTTACAGAACTCTGATGCTGCTACATCCATGCCAATTTTGATTTTCCCCGTGTAACCTGCCTTTTCAATGGCTTCCACCAACAAATCCAGACCTATTAATTAAAATCTTATGATGTAAATATGAATTTAAATATTTTTCTTAAAGTTCTTTAGATGAAATGCTGACAGTAAACGATGGAGTAGAGATGTGCATCATTGTGCAATAATTATCAAAACATTAAACAATCCCAAACACTTAAAATTGTATAGTGATAATTTACATTTGCTTTACACTTAAAAATCCCACTGGACAAATTAAAAATTAAGTTTAATTTACCTTCCTTGTTGTCCTGAATGTTAGGAGCAAAACCTCCCTCATCACCCACATTACAGGCTGAAAATAAAATCCCAATGTTAGAGATTTCACTTTGTAAATGAAGAGAACATTATGCACTGATTCTTTATTGCAAATAATTTCAGGATCATTACCCAAAACATGATTTGCATTTAACACAGGAACAAGAAATCTAACCATCTTGGCCATATTTTTTCTTTATGACTGCTTTCAGATGGTGGTAAACCTCTGATCCCATTCTCATGGCCTCCTTGAATGAGCTTGCACCTATGGAAATGTTAATACATGTATGAAATCTCCATAAACTCTTCAGCAAATTTCTAACACATGTTAACAATAAGATAACAATATCTGTCAAACCAGTAAATATAACATTTATTACATAGTCCTAGTTGAGCGTAAATACCTGTTGGAAGAATCATGAACTCCTGCATGGCCAGTTTGTTCCCAGCATGGCTGCCTCCATTGATGACATTGAATGCTGGGACAGGAAGAATAACATCCTTGTTTCCAGCTAGATCCGCAATGTGGCAGTAAAGCGGAACTCCCTATTGATGAATATCCATGAAATTAATTATATGTTATATATATCACCTAAGTAAAGAATAACATTTCAACATTTCTTCTACTTATCAGGAATAAACTCTTTAACTTACTTTTTTGGCAGCTCCAGCTTTACAAACAGCTAAGGAAACACCAAGAATGGCATTTGCACCCAGTTTACCTACAATAAAGACAAGTACATGTATTTAAAATTCTTAGTTAACTGGAATTCTCTGATGAGACTGTAGCTCTAATGGCTTGTACTACAGTGCGGTCTCGTTATTACGATGTTCATTTTGTCACGGGAAAATATCGTAATACCGAGGGCAACGTAATAAAAGTTCCCAATAAAATCCATTAAAACATCGTTTTGAAAGTTTGTTATTTTTGTGGAAGGTATTTTTGCCCTTTTGTTCCCTTCTTCTGTTCTAATTCCTAATCAAAACGCTAATACATATATAATTTATTAACAACTTATCTTGAATAGATATCTTCATGGTGATATTTCTTCTATTTCTTTCATTTTAAAAGAAATATGTATATTTCTTATAAAAACTTCGGCGATCTATCGGATCTTCATTTATCTACCGCCATTTCCTTACTTTTACTTTCGTTTCTGACTCTGTAGATAATGCGTTCGTAAAAAAATTCAACAAGCTGTCTTCGTATTCAATTTATAGTCGTTTACTACATAACAACAACAATTTTTAGTGAGCTTTTGGGTGTTCAATGAGCTTAGAGCAGCAGTGAACAACTGATAAAAGAGTGTGACTGGCATATTTAAAGACGGAATTTGACAACGTACAAGCTATATGTCAAAATAAATTTAATTTTTTAAATTACTGAACAGAGTTCAATTAGCAGTTCAGCAATTATTGATTTGTATTTCTGCTGACACCTGTGAGGTAATCCAAGCCACAATCAAAGCTGTTAAAACGTAAGTGAAGTTCAAATTTGGCCAAAATTATGTTTGATACCCAAGCTGTCCATTACCGCAATTTAATTGCAAACGAAATTACACAGTACGTGTTTTATATACATGCACAAGATTAAATGTAACCTTTTATTTAATAAATTAATTTTATTTATTAACCAAAGTATAAAAGATAAAATAAACTTTACAGACATAGATAAACTAGAGACTACGTTTATAAATAAACAGTTTAAATTTAATTGTTTTACAATGGCTTTGACACGATGTCTCCAGTTCTGCTGACCTCGCTAGAACAGTCAAGGTGTGTGCAGTCAAGCGTCACTAATCACCTAACGGCCCTGCAAGTTAACACTCTGTCAGAGCACAGGTGTTTCAATGTTTATTTAGCATCTCCTTAAGTGTCTACCGTCGATCAACACTGAATAAACACGGAGTGAAAAAAAATTTTGGACAGAATTTTTACATCGTAATACCGAGTCCCGGCATTTTAGGACATCGTAATAAACGGTTCTATTTTGTATAGATTTGTTAAGAAATGGTTTTGTGCTTTGAATTTACAACGTAATAAGCGTTCTATCTTATAAAACCGTCACCGTAATAACGAGTCCGCACTGTAACAGCAGTGAAAGTGATTGTACCTGGACTTTATTTTTCTTAAGTTTACATTTACAGAATTTGTATCCAAATTGCAATTTTACAAAAATAAGTTTTATAAGACATAAAAGTTTTATAAAAATCAAACAAACAGAAGAATCTGATGAGACTGTAGCTCTACTGGTTTGTACTAGTTTTATAACAAAGGAAGAGAAAAGTAGCACTGGGGCTTGAAACTTTGCAATAACAATAAATAGAATAATGATCCTTGGTATAATCTTTTTTTGTGACTAGATTAATTGCAATCAGACTTAAACTGTAGGAAGGGGTAGCCTTTTGAAAATTTTTACAGAAATTTCTATTTTTAGTAAACATGGCAACAATGTTCACCAATATCAAAAACCTATAGAGAAAATTATGTATCTCAGTGTAGTGTATTTGCATGCCAAGTTATATTAAAATCAGATCAAAACAGTAGGAGGAGTAGCCTTTTGAAAGTATTTCACAGAAATTTCTAGTTTTAGAAACCATGGCAACACCATTCATCAAAATCAAATAATGTATCTCATTGTAGTCTACTTGATTGCCAAGTTATACTGAAATCAAACCAAAACTGTAGGAGAAGTAATTTGAAAAATTGTTTACAGAGGGACAGACAGATGGATGGATGACTGACACATTACTATCGCATAGGCTCTTCTGGTCTCTGACCAGTAGAGCTAAAAATTGTAGGAGTGACATTTGAAAGAATTTCACATAAATTGTTAACCACACACACACCTGATGGACAGACACCTAACCAAAGCATAAACTCTTGATCTTTGATCAGTAGCGCTAAAAAATTTTGTTGATTTAAATGCAGTAAATCAAATGAAACGTACTTTTGTTTTCAGTTCCATCAAGACCTAATAAAAATGTATCCACTGCTGTCTGGTCAGCTTCATCCAAACCCTAGATATCAAAACAGAATCTCAAATAAAGTAATTCATATCTACTGCTGACATTCAACAATCTTGGTGATACAGATGACCCTGACCATCTGTTAGCTTATAAAACCTAACCTTCACTTTTCTCTGATTGAAATATAGAAATTATTAAATGAAAATATAACTAAAATATTTAGTTAAAAGGGTTTCAAAGGCTCTATGTAGTTTTTATGATCAATTTGAATATATACATGCATAAGATTATAATAATGTGTTTTCACTGAAATATTGATGGGTAAAGCAGAGTAGAATTTTAAGCTGTTTCTAATCTCAATGTTTTTATATTTCCAATCCAATCATGTCTCAATGTTTTTATTTCCAATCCAATCATGTCTTTTGAGCCTTCATACATTTACATGAAGGCTTTTTTTACTTGAGCCTTCATACACTTCATTTACATGAAGGCTTTTTTTTTTTACCAGGTTCAGTTTTAACATTTAAGATATCTAATATCTTTTTTCAAATTTTCAATACGTAACTTCACAATTTAAACCTAGAAAACTTACAGCTTTGATTAGGGCAGGTGCAATAACGTTATTCACATTATTGATAGCATTTGAAACACCTGAAACAAAGGAAAAATTTAAGTTAGTTCACGATATATTAATAAAAAAAATATATGTTCTTCATATTTTGTTCACTGCTGTGTATAACCCACCTTTCCCATGGTAAAACTTAGGGTCTTTATCTCTCATTTCCAAAGCCTCGTAAATACCAGTTGAAGCCCCACTAGGAACAGCTGCTCGGAACATCCCTGTTCAAAAGAAAATTGAAAGTGATTGATGGTTTATCCACTCCTCAAATTTCGTTTTCTAATTTTATTACTACAAGTTTAAAGTTAATAATTTTTTTCTTTATCAAGAATTAAATTGATATTACTAAGCATGCAAAATGTTGTTATTCAACTATCTTTTTCCACCCTTAAAATTTAGTATATATATCAAAACAAACTCACAATACATAAGTCAGTATATATATATATATATATATATATATATATATATATATATATATATATATATATATATATATATATATATATATATATATATAAAAAGCACTAAAAACCAACAACACTGTATATCCTAAGTGTCGGATCTACTAAGTAGATACAAGGTCACGAATGGAAATTTATATAAAGCACTAAAAATGACCAACGACACGAACAATAATAATTGTCAAATTTTCGGGACAACCTGTCCCTTCCTCAAGACAAAGAAAAAAGTTAAGAAGTCATAAAAACAAAGGAAATAGAGAAGCAAAAACAACTAGCACTACTACTAAACTACCAAACACTAAATATTTATTTACAATGTTACATGTTTAATTTGGAGTTTATAAACAGTTGTGAACAAAGAAATCTGGAGCGCTATGAATTGCGTCCGGTCTATCGGGTGTACTACTTTACCATAGTACACCCGATAGACCGGACGCAATTCATAGCGCTCTGGATTTCTTTGTTCACAACTCTTTATAAACTCCAAATTAAACATGTAACATTGTAAAGTGTTTGGTAGTTTAGTAGTAGTGCTAGTTGTTTTTGCTTCTCTATTTCCTTTGTTTTTATGACTTCTTAACTTTTTTCTTTGTCCTGAGGAAGGGACAGGTTGTCCCAAAAATTTGACAATTATTATTGTTCGTGTCGTTGGTCATTTTTAGTGCTTTATTTATATATAGATAGATATATATATAGAGAGAGAGAGAGAGAGAGAGAGAGAGAGATAATATATACTTTCATGTGAATTACTTGAATTTGTTTGATTTGTCTAGAAACATTTGTTAAAAAACACCTTTACCCTCTGAATGATGAAACCATGCCCTCCAGCGCGATAGAACTTACCAACGGTCAACGTTGCTTGACAACGGGTGATATTAAAAAAAAAAATAGTGACTTTGCGGAATCTATGTGCGTACACTTCACTTTACCTTTATTTGTATAAAACATTCAGTATGATAAGATAAATACTGCATGTAGTTGAGGGAAACATTGAAAATTTTCACCCCTCAAAAACCATTGTCAACCTTGGCTGCACCTTGGTTGACAATGGTTTTCCTGGGGTGAAAATTTTCAGTGTCACCCTACACTACATGTAGTTTTCATATAATATACAGTACTTTCATATAAATTACTTGAATTTGATTCATCAAGGAAAATTTGTTAAAAAAAACTGTTATCCCCTGAATAATGAAACCATGCCCTCCAGCGGGATAGAACACAGCAACAGTCAACACTGCATTAATGATGGGTGATATTCCCAAAAATATTGACTGCATGGAACATGTGGAATCTATGTGCACATGCTTCACCTTTACATGTATTTGTATAAAACATTTAATATAATAAATATTGCATGTAGTTGAGGTAACATTGAGAATTTTCACCCCTTGTAAACTATTGTCAACCTCGGCTGCACCTCAGTTGACAATGGTTTTCTTGTGGAGAAAATTCTCAATGTTACCTTCAACTACATGCAGTATTTGTGTAACATCATAACAAATTAACAATACATCAAAAAAGTCAAACATTTTCATGTCACCAACCTTTTTCTGTTGTAACATCTACCTCCACTGTAGGGTTGCCCCTACTGTCAAAAATTTGACGTGCCAACACTTTTGAGACTGGCATGGTGGATAGGCAAAGTTTCTGTCAAAACAATAAATAAAAGAATTCTAAACAGTCTGTACAAAACATTCTACACAAAAATTGCATATATTTGGTAAAATATATGGTCCAATACAATTATACATACATGTACTTTTTAAATCAATTCCAAACATCAGGTTTTATTTCCATCTTCTTGATCTTAGTATACACATATTTGAAAGTGAGTCAAATTCTTAGATTAAAATAATTAAGGTATAACTGAGCAGATATTAAAATTACAGTGAATTTTCATGATAGTGTTTTCAATAAGAGCCGGCAACTGGCAAAATTAAACGCCTGAACGAGAAATTTTTCTGGCTTTGAAATTTCCGTTGTTGGGATTTTACTGCAGTTGGTACCTGAAATCTGTAGATTTTATCATGACTATATCTACATGATATAGAGTAACTTCTCTTAAATGCACTCTTTTTTCATGGAAATTTGATATGATCCAAATTTTGTGTAGCCTACAACTGCGAGAGATGGAAAGTAAAGTCCTAAGAATAAATTTTTAATAATTAATTCCAACCTCCTAGAAAATTCACAACTCAACAATCGCGAATATAAGTTTAGATTTACAAGATTATATGAACAAGATTGGCGCTGGATTATTAAGAATCGGTGGTTTCGTTGGCACAAGCATCAGGTATCTACTTCACGTACAAAGGACGTTCAATCGTTTAAAAAACGATATTGTCCTATGAACCTGGTTTAATGGCTTGTCCCAAGACACAGTTAGATTAGATTATTCTAACTACATGTAGGTACCTACAGCCTACAATGTCGAAGAGGAATTTTTTTTTTTTTACATTCACTGCCACTACTTAAGCTAGTTCAAGATTAATATTAGTGATGGGACATCGGTTAATTTTCATAATCGATCATCGGTTGGAATCGGTTACTGCTTCCGATGCGATTTTACGGATTATAATCGGATGTCATAGTTTGGTATATAAAAAGCAGACTATTACAATTATTTCATATTATTTCTATAACATGAATATATAAAATATATGATATATTGTTTTCTTTGTTGTTTTTACTTATGTCACACTTTCTATATACAGGGTTTAAACTTAACTAAAATTTCCACTAGCCATGTGGGCTCCTAAAGTTTCAAATTTAGGCTAGAAGCCCACAGCTAAATCTGTTAACCCATAATCTCTGTGATTTTTTTTAACCCTTTGAATACATCACTAGGACAATTTAAGTAGATACCAATTCAATATAATATACATTTGTTTAAAATAAAAATTGAAGTTCTTACTTTGTAAAATCAAATTTCGCATAAATATTTCATCATAGGAAATAAAATTGAATTCAATTAACAATTTTACTATCCTTTTTTGCAAGGTTATATACGTAATCCCCTTTTCCTGGTCATTGGACTATATACTTAGTAGCCTACTGATGAAGTGCATGACACCGACACATGAATAAGATTTTTTTTTTTAGTTTATTTTTGAAACGTATCTGAATTAAGTAGACACCTAATAAAACTTCCATTTCATATGACTGAGTAATTGGAAATAATTTAATTGGATATCAACCATGTATAAACGATTCACAGAGGAATGGAGGAAATTCGGATTAGAAAAAAAGACGATCGTTTTAGGGATTTCACAAATCATGTAGTACTGGTAAATGGATTAGATGAAGGATATTTACGAACAATAGGAACATGTTACTTTTATTTATTCAATTGATTGGAAGTTTCAAAGCAAAAAACATGGGGAAAACGTCTGTTTTCAGTAAGGGGACTGGAATGGTCCTGCAGATTTTTAATTCACCACATGGGCGAACGAGTTATAAATTTTATAAGCCCACACCAAATTTTACTCACGGTTCCTAAGGACCTCTGCTTCGTGCTAGTTGGCTAGTATCAGAGGGCAGACGCCATTTACTTTCATTAAGAAGAAATAAATTTTAAACCAGAAATGGATAATTCTGAAATGTACTTTATTAGAAGTACGTTTCCGATGATCGATTATGAAAAATTATAATCGATCATCGGAATCGGTAGCATTTTTTCGTCGACAATCGATGTTTTCTGATTATCGGTAGAACACTTATTAATATATTGAACACAGCAGACATTTATCAGTGATTCATTTTGAAAATGGTTATCATGGGTCCAAAGGACCCCTCTTAAAGACAACAATGAGTCCCATGCCAAAATCAGTGCATCTAAATCAAAGGGTACCGTATATTAGATATAACAGAGGAAATTCTGGTGAAATATAAAAGGGTATTTCACGAAAGTGCAAATGTTTTATTGTAACTGTGAGTGGTTTATACTTTTACTATCAATTGAAGACTTGTCGAAATTTTGAAATCACTGTCAGGCATTTGGTCTGACAAAGTCAAATGTTCTGTCAGACCGGACGAAGTTTTGTCAGACCAGATACATATACCTTATTTTGACGCAGAGAAAGGGAAATAAATAACAACACCAAAATGTCCTTTATCATTTTCAACAGCCTTAAATCTCACAAGTTTCTTTTCTTAGGATAGAGAGTCTTTAATAAGAGACATAAATGACATTTTTATGTCTTTACTTTAACAATTTAAACTGACCATCGTCACCACGCCATCTCTTTCATGTTTGTGACTTTCAGTTGCGCATTCCGATCCCGACCTTTTTTTAATTTGCGCCACGCTCGATTTTTTCAAACGGTCATTTGGACCGACGTTTTCTTAAAAGTTATCAGTCCAGACAATTTTTTACCGGCCTTGCCGATAGGACCGACGGATTTCGACAAGTCTGTTCAATTGTCCAAGTAAGAGTACGTGATCATGACGATTTTGTGTCATTAAACAATATGTCAACTGTGCACTTTGGTTCTATTTTTAGATTGTATATACAATCTCACACATTGTATCAGTCATATAATGCACAGAAGCACAATGAAGTAAAGAAAGTTTAAGAAGAAATAAAAAAAATAGTTAAAAATAAAAATGATTAAATTTTATACTTCTTAGCTTGTAAGGAAAAATTGAAAAAAAATGTTACAGGTTACAGCTTAAATACAAAGGTATAGTATTCGCTTCAGAAATGTTCCACAGTATTAGACATAATCAGTGATAATCAAACTATGCTATCTAACTTTCAAATTTTTTCTGATAATTGCTTGTTACCAGCAATTGTGATGTCTGATCTGTTGTTGGCAACCTTATAGACTCTACCTGTTAAAATCGTTCATGCATAACGCTTAGCACATGGATATGATGCAATCAGCCAAGTTTAGAATCAGATTATACCAAAGCAATTTAAAATAATACATGTCCTTCTATAAATTGATTGCCTCCATTGGGATGCACATTTATTGAAATAATGCGTCCTGAGCAGAATTTGTGCGTAATTTACGCAGGACGCACACCAAAATGAATCACTGATTTATATCTAGGCTGATATAATTTTAAGACCTTACAAATAAATGTCTGTAACTGTTTTAAGACCTTATGAATAAAAACTGATTTTTATGCCCCCGTATCGAAGATTCGGGGGTATATATTTTTTGCCCTGTCCGTCTGTCTTTTTGTTTGTCCGTTTGTCCGCAAAAACTTTAACATTGCTCATAACTTTTGATTGGATGGAGCTATGGCTTTCATATTTTACATGTGTATTTCTTGTGACAAGACCTTTTTTTGGGTACCATAATATTTGACCTTGACCTTGGAGATTGACCCAGTTTTGCAAAATTTTACCGAACTTTAACCTTGGCCATAACTTCTAGGGCTTTCATACTTCACATGTGTAATCCTTGTGACAAGACCTCCCTTTGTATACCAACAACTTTGATCCTTTGACCTTGACCTAGGAGTTTGACTTACTTTTGAAAAACATTTAACCTTGGACATAACTTTGGAACGGTTGATTCCAGGGCTTTCATGCTTCACAAATGTAATCCTTATGCCAAGATCTTCCTTAGGATACCAAGAATTTTTACCCTTTGACCTTGACCTAGGAGTTTGACCTAGTTTTGGAAAATTTTAACCTTGGGCATAACTTTTGAACTGTTGGTGCTAGGGCTTTTATACTTCACAAATGTAACCTTGTGTTAAGATCTTCCTTTGGATATCAACAACTATGACCCTTGACCTTGGAGTTTGATCTACTGTTGGAAAACTTTAACCTTGACCATAACTTTTGAACAGTTGGTAAAGTTTTCCAAAAGTTATGGCCAAGGTTAAAGTTTGGTAAAATTTTGCAAAACTGGGTCAAACACCAAGGTCAAGGTCAAAAGGTCAAATATGATGGTACCCAAAGAAAGGTCTTGTCACAAGGAATACACATGTGAAATAAGAGAGCCATAGCTCCAACCAATCAAAAGTTATGGGCAATGTTAAAGTTTTTGCAGACAAACAGACAAATAGACAGACGGACGGACGGACAGGGCAAAAACTATATATCCCCAAATATTCGATACTGGGGCAAAAAAAATGTGAAATTCAATAAAATCAATATAGCTTACGAAAATTAACCAACTTTAGGGGTGAAACAGTACACCTCCTACACGGTTCGATACGTATTGCATAATTTTGTCTCGGTTCGGTTATTTTCGATACGATATATTTTGCTAGAAGGAAACAAATTCAACGTTGTTTTATGCTTTCTTTTTCTAAATCTAGTCACCTATTTTACGAATTTTATTTGCAAATTGACTAGAAGAAATTGATTAAAATTATTTGACTGTCAAAAATTATCATACAAGCTATCAGTCATCAAAAATTTACGTTTTCTATACTTATTTATACTGAGTAACGTGTTATACCTTATGCCAAACCCGACTGAATAACGATCCCAACCGAAAAATGAACCGAACCGAAAATTAGAGATTTTGCACCGTGTATCAAACCGAGAAAAAATACCGCGGTGCATCGATACCGCGGTGAACCGTTTCACTCCTAACCAACTTACATATTTAAGGCAAAGGGACCTTGGGTGAACGAGTTTGAGAGAGAATGGATTTTGGGCTAACAAGAATAAGGGCTACAGTGTCAAGGGCAAACATATATGTTTTAGGGTGAACGAACATACATTCGTCCAAGATGGTGTCCTTCCTTGTTATAAATGGTATATGATTTTTTTTTTTTTTAATATTTTCTTTACTCCTTAGGAGCAAGCCCCTGTGGCCTAGCAAATAAATTCAACAATTCAACTAATGTCAATGTGGTCATATTGAAACAATTACCCCCCCCCCCCCTTTTTTTTCTTTCTACTGCACCAGGAAAAAATTCCATGATCAAGTTAAAAAAGATTTTTTTCACAATACAACGTAAATACCACCAGATCCTGATTATGAGTGCTATAATAATGCAGCTCACGCAAATTATGCGATGGCCTTGAGCATGGAGGGAACAAATTGATGAAGGTGAAATGTGCACGACCTATTCAAGGCCTCCACATTTGACATCAATGTGTGGGATTGACAGGTACTGTTGGTGTGGAATATCGAACAGATGTGTGCAACTGAATATACAAAATGTGACTTATGTCAATTGGTGAATACTTCGATCAAATAAACAGAAAAATAAATGACATACCAACACTGCGGTCTGCTTCACGAGTCGGAAGTTTGATCAATTTGTCAAGCCAAATCTCGGGTGAACTCTCGTGCAACTCGAAGCGTCCCCTAGCGAAATAACGGGTCATTAACATGGAAGTAGGAGGCAAGTCATCTGCCAAAAAAATGTAAACATTGTAGTTTTTTCAGCAATTTTGGGATCATGTGAGCTGAGTTGAGCAAGAAAATAAACAAACATGAAGCCGACAATAGATTTTAAAGAGTGCCTGAAAGATTCTCCGAAATTTCGGTAAGAAAAATTAGAAAAAGTGAGTTCGAATATGTACAGATCTATATTCATCACTGTTCATGACTGTACCAATTGATGTGTACACATCGGATTTAGAACATAGTATGGGGATACTAGTAACAAATACCTAATTGTTTTTACGATAATATGCAGTGTTACTAAAACTTTTTTATGTTTTGATTTGTAGAACCAATGTTAATTTCACCATTTCCTCCTAATCCTTTTTTTTCTTCACATGTATAGAAAAGGCCTATAATTTGGACTTAAGGTTAAAGGAATTATAGTATTTATGCCTGGATTGCTTGTCATCTTGTATCATCATGTTTCTGCATTTTTTATTTTAACACATGAAAATATAATGTTCCATAATAGTTTCATTTTATTGAAAATAATAATAGTTGTAATATTTTTTTATATAATCACCTGTAGTTTTTTTTTTTTTTTACTTAAAATTCATACCGATACTTGTCTTGATGCAAAAAGTGAAATGTGTGGAGATAACAAACAGTATTCGAGCTCAAAAGTCCATTAAACATTACAAAATAGGAGCAGAGCAAACACGGACCTCTAAGACATTAGAGGTGGGATCAGGTGCCATGGAGGAGTGAGCATCCCCTGCCGACTGGTCACACCTGCCGTGTGTTCCTTGTCATGATCGAGAAATAATGGAAAAATCTGTCTACAATTTAGTGTGTAAATAACGGCCTAACAATTAGTATGAAAAAAGGAATTTCAGCATAGTGAGAGGAGGGTGTATAGCTAAAATTTTATATACGAGTCATGAGTTTATAAAGTTTTTCACTGTGAACTGTGAAATGCCATTTGAAATTTACTCAAGAAACTTGGTTTCATATTCAAAAGAATGCAATAGGAACATACCAGTATTTAATGCTAGCTTCTGAAAAAAAAAAACCCCACTATTTTATTGGCATCTTAAAGAGCAATAAATGGTTAGTGCATCATCCAACTAGCTTTTTTCAGCACTTATTGTCAGAGTATGGAGAGCAATGCACAAGCTATAAATACCTAAATAATCTTCTATCACATACATCTACAAAGCTCCTTTTGCTGAATGTACATTTGCAGTGTTTGCATAACAGACTTACTGCCATTGGTCAGTGTTAAAGTTGAATTTGAAAATCTTAACCAAGTTGATCCAGTCTGAGTGTGTGATTTTCCTGAATGTGTAAGGCATTCTGTACCCTAAGAATAATTTCAATATGACAATTAGTATTCTGGTTTGTCTGGAAAAAAAATGTTAGACACATGCACATACTGATTTCTTAAAAAATGATTAAAGATTTCATCAATTTAAAAAAAACACACACATATAATGTTCAGTGTCCATTACTGTCATTTGTTCCCTTTTGTTTGTTTGTGTTTTGGCCATTGCACTCATATTAATTATCATTGGCTTTTTATTTTATTTTATAATTTATCTTTTGAAAATATGTGAAAAGTTGTGCTATACATTGGTAAAACTGAGTTAGGCTCTATCAAACAATTATATACATGTGAGGTTTATAAAGTTTATGACCATTTCTTATTAGTACTGTTATAGATATGTGAATTGCACATGTGAATTAATTTTCCTTGTTTCGTTATCGGTATTTTTACTGAAAAATTAAGAACCAAGATTACATGTGAGTAGTGCAGATGCTTATTATTGCTCTGTAAATTTAATTATGTCCAATATCCATTCTGACATGGTTTGATTCAGATCAAAGAATTGAATGCATTATATGATTGAGATAGCCTATATTATAAGAAATTCTCTTCCTTCACTTTTAGTATATTAACAGGTATACAGTCTCCTAGAATCACTATATGAAATGAGCAGATAAAAATTTCTAAATTCAGGAAAAATTCTGTTTTAAATTGCTTCCAGATTCTAGACACCAATGTTGTTATAAAGTCTTAATTAGTCTGTAGAGTCTAGGAATACTGGCAATCTGCTTCTGCTACCAGACTGATTTTCCACATGGAAGAAACATTTATATAATCAATTGCATTAGGCTCCTGCTAAGGATAACCACACATTACCAGAAGGAAGTGTTTATATTATTCATCAAATAGGAATCATAGTGTTCATGGTAGAGATCACACTCTGTTTATTGCCAGCCTTTTTTAATTGTTGGAAATTCTGGAATTTAGTCCCCCTCATCAGGAAATATTTGTTTAAAAATAAATAGTTATATTTAAAGCTCTGCAGTACTCAACACAATAAATGTTTGACAAATATAACTTTAAATTTGTAACAAAAATAATTCCTAGGTTACACATGTTAATGGTTTCTGGAGTTGATCATTTGTTAGCTTACCTCCTGAGTCAAAATTCAATTAGAATTGTTACACATGTTAATGGTTTCTGGAGTTGATCATTTGTTAGCTCACCACCTGAGTCTAAATTCAATCAGATTTGTGGATCGATTAAAGTTTTGAAAAGGATCAATTTGTCAGTATGGCATAAACTACATATGTGAAAGCTTTTATTCATAGAGTAAATCAGGGTAAAATTTTGTCAACCATGATCCCTGTTTGAGTCTTGGTAGGACCACTGTAAGTGGTAAGAGCTTTACTTCATTTTTAGTTTGCCTCATCAGGAAATTATTGCAATTATTTCACAAAGAAATATTTTTTTAGAATTTGTTAGGTATCTATAATTTGCTTTGAGAAACCCAAAATATGTGTCCAATCGAAACATAAAATAGGATGTGCTCAATGGCTTTAAGTAATATAGAGTCTGTGAAAGTCTCATTAAGTTTTATTCAGTGGTCTAGGAAGAGTTGTAGATAAGGGATAGCTACTACGGGCTGCATTTCATTTTCCGTAATTTTTCAAAATTTTCAACTTTTCATTTTCGATGTTTTATAGTTTTTATTTCTGTCATTTTACAGTTTTCATCTCCGACATTTATCATTTAAGTAATTTCCAGGCATTGAAAACAGAATAGAAGACTTTATTTTAAAAAATAAATCAAGAATAAATCATTGATATCCATCATAAATTTGGTACATTCACTGACATATAATTCAGTGGACATTATTAAATTTAGTGAACAAAAATTGCATGCTCATTGAACTCATACAAAACTTTTGATTAGACTTAGTGCTGACTGTATATACAGTGTATTGTAATATTTTTAATTGAAAAATGTTGTGTGAAATAAGTGTATTATTTATGTCTTATCAAAATTTTATTTCCATCTACTTGGTTAACATTAAATTGCTGAAAGGTACCTCTAAATATTCCGGAAATGTTGGGAAAAAAAATTGCGGATTCCGAAATGAAAATAAAAAATGTAGGAAATGAAAATAAAAATTGTTGGAAATGCAATGCAAAATTCCAAAAATGAATAGCAGCACTACTAGGGCTGGGACGATACAACTTTTTTGATATCAATACATATGATATTTAAGGCATGATATTTTGAATTGGTCATTAAATCTTATTTTTTGCATTGAAATGAACAAAACAGTTCTTCACAATTAAGAATAATTTATTTATAGAAACTGTTTTGCATTGAAATGAACAAAACATTTCTTCACAATTAAGAATAATTTATTCATAGAAGCTGTATATCTGTTGTAAAACAAAATTATTTTATACAAGTGGTGTTAATTATTGTGTATTTCATATTTATATTTATCATATTTATCTTATATATTAAACCCAAAATATTAAGTAAACAAAAGAAAAAATAAGTCACATTTCAATATTTCTACATATGTATCAATATGCTTATCATCCTCACACAGAAATGATATTATCGATATATGTTGTCCCAGTCCTAATAGCTACCCCCAAGTGCTATGGATGGAAGGACATACAGATGTACACCCCCCATCACTCTGTCCCCACTTTTCCAGCAGGGGGTTTAAAAAATATTTAAGGAAAATATATCAGAAGATTTTATTTCTGTATTATTTACATTTTTGTAAAATTGATGTGCAAACTTCCTCTCAGAGTAGGTACATGTAAAAGTAACGAATACATTTGCACCTGTTCAATTTTGCTTTATTTAGCATTAAGGGGGGGGGGGGGGGACTGAGATTTATTTTTGAGTAATGCTTTAACAAGGCAACTTGACCAGTATATCATGAAATAAATTATATTAAGTATAGTTTTTATAGTCTCATATTCTATATATCTGAAAAAAAGTTCCTTAAACTGTTTATACACTGTCAAGTTCAAAGTATGTCATTCAGGTAAACACTATAATAGGACAGACAAGTGACGTACCTGGTACATGCTCAAAAGGCTAGTGTAAAAGCAAATATTATATATCAAATTTAAATGATAATCTTTGCATGTAAAATTTTAAATAACTTTATTAGACCATTGACATGTGTCACAGTTTTTCTAGACTATAAGACTATACATATGTGTATCACTAACAACAGTGACTTAAAGGATAGGTAGTTATCATTATTAAATTTGTATAATTTTAACTGTTATTAAATTGGTTTTCTACAGCACCATTGACCTTTATCAGGAAAACATTAAGTAACGGTTGCCGTGATTTATTTGGTATGATGGAGCAGATTGAAATACAAGTTCAAAGTATTTTTATGAGGAAGACTGTTCCATTAAATCATGATTACTACAAAAGTAAACAGTCATAGTAACAGGATAAATGGGAAACATTACTTAATTGGTGTCAGTTTGTGTATATGGAATATACCTGTTAGGTTGTAAAGGGGTGTATCTACATGTATTTACATGTGTTATTGTCACCACACCTTTCCCAATATAGATGACCCAAGTCACATGTCACATGAACCTTGTCATGTAATATTAGTTATCCATTCATTGAAATTCTCTCAATCTGGAAGGAAGATCTCTGTTTTTATTATATTTTTTTTAATTGACCATTTTTAACATCCTTATAGAATTAATTACCTGTTGTTGATTTCCTGGTTGTCCTTACCATTAGAGAGATGCTGTTATTAAAATCCGATTCTTTTTAAATACTGTATTTATTCTTTTCATTCAAACCAACATTAAGAATTCACAAGATAAATCATATCTGAAGGAATTAAGAAATTCAAACAAGTATTTAGAAAAAGATGAAGTTTATATCATTAAATAGCAATATTAGCAATTCATTAATGAAAATAACCAGGTAATAGTAACTAGACATTGATTTTCTTTGATGTTATTTCAGGGCCTCCTTGGAGTCTGCAGAAAATGACATTGATGTCCTAGAAGCCAGACTAGAAAGAGTGAGCTTACATCAGCATTAAATTGTCTTTTTCCTGAAAACTTTGTTTTGTTTAAAATTATGGATAGCTATTTCTTAATGCTTTTAAAGATAACAACTGCAGTAGTTTGTGCCCAACCTATTGTATTAATTAAGTAAATAAATGTGTATTTATGTATGTCAATTTGTCCAGGATTTTATTTACTAATATAAATCAATTAAAACAAAAACATTCTGTGATAAACAGCTTACTAGAATTCCTTTTGAAAGTAAATTTCAGTAAAATATCAAAAACTAGAAAAGAGATTTTTAGTAAAGTAAGGGAGTTATTTGGATAATGTATGAGTTATTTAATGTTTTTTACAGCTTGTGAAATTATGTTCGTTGATGATAGAGACCGGGAAATCATTCAAACGTGCCAGTAGGTAAGGATCGCACAGAATGTTGTCTTAGTTAACAGACACAATATTTGAGTATGGTTTTCCCTAAGAACCGGCCTCCAGCCAAATAAATAAAAATGCTGCTTAGAAATCAATAATTTTAAAAATAATTGTTGTAAGGTCCACAAAGATTTTGTTCATAAAACTCAAACCATAGCCTGTTACAATTGATCTCTAGCCCTTTTCTTTAAAATAAAGGGAAAACACTCCGTCTATCAGGTTGTGAAAATAGCAGTTAATTAAAATACAAAAATGCCATTGAATTCTCTCTTGTGTGTCTACCCCATTGTCTCAAACCACGGTCCGGAGTCCGCTCATAGCTCTCTCCAGAATGGGAGAGCATCATACATTTTGGCCGTGGTTTGCGAGGATGTGTCTACTCATGCCCTTTCTTATTGAAGTTCATCTTAATTGCAATCAGATATATCAATCAGCCTTAGAAAACAAATTAACTGTTAAAAAAATTAAAAACAAATGAAAATAATTACAAGGTAACACATGAAGAGAGATACTAAAATCCCAGAGATGTAAGCAATATTGAAATGATAAAAGAACAATGTGGATTCATCTTTAGACCTTTTTTTTGTTGAATTTGATATTCTTTTTCGGTGTTTTTAGTTCATTGTTTTTATACTGGTATTTTTCAGTGATTTTGTTACTGGTGTGCGAGATTTGGCAGCATATTTTAAAGATGACAGCATGATGTCGGTAGGTTCTCTACAACACTTGAAACCAGTAGTTTTAAGTATTGATGTTCTGTCTACTGGGATATAAACAATATGTTAAAATCCCAAATCAGATTGCTAGAGTACTGTTTTGTGACACATAGGTCAATTTCCTATCAGACCTGCATTTGAACTTTGACATTCATGTGACCTTCAGAAACATATTTTTGTTGCCATTCTTGGTTAGAATGGAAGAAGAAATATAAAAAGCACTGTTTTTAGTCACCAGGACTTATTTTTAGATTTAACCTGTAGATAAAGTTCAAACATAGTGGAATAAAATAATATGTGGCTATATTACTTACTCATCTTCATGGGATTTTAAGATTTAATTAATAGCTTTTTCAGTATTGGTGCAAGGAAGTTACCTGTAAGCTATTTTTTGTTTAAAAGATGCATGGAATTGTTAAAGGTCACATGTACTGAAATAACCATATTTTGTTTTCACAATGATAGGATGATACAATGGTATCAGTAAGTATCCCACAATGCAGTTGGTCTAGTTCCTGCTACATTTGCTAATCTTAGCAACTTCTAGCAGGAATGAGACCAGGTTTTGTTCTTTTCTTTTTAGCATGGTCACCTTATATTCAGTGCTTTTTCAATCCTGTCTGTTCCAACAAAGTGATTGATCTAACACACTATATTTCCTGTTCCAAGCATATAAATGAAGACATTTCTAATCATCCTCCCACGTCAGACACTGCACTTTGCAACACACACAATTGCCAGAGTCTTTTTGATTTGCACACTTCCTAGTTCATTTGACCTAGAAGTTCTAGTTATCATGAATAGAAAAATAGAAAGCAATTAATTCTGTAAAGAAATGTATTTTGAATACATGTAGTAAGATAATTCATCTTTAGCAATCTGAATGAGTGATTTCCATGCCCATGTAATTTATGAATATTAAGTACATGTAGTATTCATAATGTTTGAAAATGTCCCAAAGCAATAGCATTACACATTGCATGTTGTCTTTTTATTTTGCCTGCCCTGATTATGTAATGATTTTCTGAATTATATAGCATTCCTCAGTGAACAATTATATCAAAATATACTTGCATCATTATTGAAAGAATATGAGGATGTCTCTCTTTTGTGCATAACAAGTGCATTGTTGTATTGTTGAAGTACTAAATACACTGTACATGTCAAATGTAGAAAATGACTATAAATGCAGTATAATGTTTATAACTGATTGATCCTTATTACTGCTAGATTTTAGCATTTGTGCCCAAAATGTTACCCCAAAATAATACATGTTTTTGTTGTATTTTCATGTATTTTAGTGGCTCAGGTGAGCTTTAATGATCAAATACTGTCCAGCATCTATCTCTGTCTATCCTATGTCAACTGTAAGCTTTTCATATTTTCAACTTCTCCAGAACCACAGAGCCAATTCCAACCAAGTTTGCCACAAATGGGATTCAACAATGTTCAAATGAAAGTAAAAAAAAAAAGTGAAAATATAGTTGGGTAATATTAAATCTCCTCAAGAACCATGTGGCCAGAAAAGACAAAACTTGATGTGTTTCCTTACTGAGTGACAATTTAAGAAGGTTGGATCCTGTTATAAAAAGTATTGAGAATTTTTTATCAAGTATATTTTTAGAATCTACACACATAGCTGAATTAAAAATCAGAACAAAAAATGGGGGTCAATGTGCTTCTTTTGGTGCTACGAAGCATTTAATATGACCTTTTTGCACTGTAATTACGTGTAACACATATAAATAAATTTTTCAAAGTTTTTCCTCTAATATTTTTTATCCAAATAAATTATATTAACAAACACAGTCTTTTTTCCCTTGAATAGTCACATTAAAATTTGTGACAACCAAAAAAAGTTTCAAATTACTTTGCATAGTCAATTATTTGACCTTTCTGCACTCAAAAAATGTCATTTTCTGGCATTAAAAATTTAACAAATGAATAAAATCATTTGAAAGTTATGACATTTTTCTGAATTTAAGCAGAATTGTTAAAATTATCTTATATATTCAGAAAAGAAAATTAAATTAAAAGTGGGAGTCTGTGATGTAATTTTTTACATATAACTAAAATAGTGCTAATTTTAAGCTTAGACTGGGCTATTTTTTCCCCAGGACCTTCACAATATATTTGTTATATTTTTCCAAATATGATGATAGAATTCATCACAGTTAATATATAATTAAGGACCAATATAAAACAGTTCACTGCACAAAATAACTGTGTGCAGACTGCATGTAAAAATAGGAATCCAAACTTAACAATACTGTAAAAACTTCGAAAGAGAAAAACTGATCATTTTCTTTTATAAAACCTTCTGCCACAAAATATAGTTCCTCACTTAATGCTTTCGATATGGAATTTAATCATTGGGATTTAATTGAATATAGTTTAATTAGCATTGTAGAATCCAAATTTATTGTAAGAATTAAAACATTATGCAGAATTTTTTAAACAGAGGTCAAGACAAAAATCTGCTCAAAGGCTCAGGAACAAACCTGTTTAATAAGTTTGTTTAAATCATAGCCCCATGGGCTAGGATGGGGCCACATTAGGGGGGTCAATGTATAGAATTATAAAGGAAAAATCTTCCTCTCAATAGCCTGAAAAATACATACATTCTTCTACTTTAATTTAAAAAAAAGAAGGATTAATAATAAACAAAAAGATATGTGAATACTAGTAAGTTTTTTTACTGTGTTACAGCTGTGGAATTTATAAACAAGTATTTATCAATTGCTCAACTAAAGTAAGTTCAATGGAGTATAACTATTTAACTCAATCATTTACTGCTGGAAAATTCTAAAAGTGGAGATCTATATATATATATATATATATATATATATATATATATATATATATATATATATATATATATATATATATATATATATATATATTCTTTAGAAAAAAAATGTAAAACTCTTCCTTTCAAGATGAGCAGGGTTAACCTGACTGGTGAGTTTTGTGGCCCTTAGGCCTCTGGTTAATGGTAAAGGCATTTTATGCTAATGCATGCAAATGAAGGCTGATTTTCAGAAGATTAATTTCTGCATGAAATACTTGTAAATGTTACTCTCTACTTTATATTTATTGTGTGTTCTGTACAAGTAATTAATATCAGTATGATTTTTTTTATTTACAGAACTGTTTGAATAAATTTGCCCATGAAATGGGAGAGATGCTAAAGTTCTTTAATGTAAGTACAATCTAATTTGGATTTAATGGTTTCTATTTGATTAAATTTATTTAAGTTTCATTTTTTTAACACTGCCTTCCTTTGTCGTATCTAGCTACTGTGATTAGTTATTCTGAGACTTAAATGTACATGTATATCGTTGAATATACGCAAACTTTCAAATTACTTGTCTCAAGTAAAATACATGTGTGTAACATAACCAAAATGTTAGACTGAGTATCGGAAATCTTAATGTTTGCTTTTGCTCTCTTTTTAGATTTTAATGGACCAAGCTAATAGATCTGTTTGTAAAAATCTCAACAATTTTGTGAAGCAGTGAGTATTGTTAGCTCACCTGAGCTGAAAGCTCAAGTGAACTTTTCTGATCACCCATTGTCTATCCATCTCTCCATCTGTCTGTCCATCGGTCTGTAAACTTTTCACATGTTCAACATTGTCTGAAGAACCACTGAACCAATTTAAACCAAAGTTGGTACAAAGCATCCCTGGGTAAAGGGGATTTTAAAGTGTTAAAATGAAGGACCAAGCCCCCTTCCAAATGAAAATATTCAGGAAAAGGCAAAATAGGGTAGGGTCATTGATAGGGATGTCAATTTTGTCAATAATTCATATTTGAATATTCAATGAAAGTATTCGAATATATTCGAATATTCGATAAAATAAATAAAATCTGTTTTATTTTAAATATGCGTGCATCATCCTACTCTCATGAAAGGTTTAGCGTAGGTATACTTATATTGGAAGTAAAATTGTATGAAGACTTTTGTAGGTGTACAATAAAATTCCTTTTGATATTTGTCAATGTTTGAAATAAATAATTGATTTAAATGTAGAAAGGTATAATTTTAACAAATGAAACGTGTATATATAGTAGCTCCAACTGAGGAAGCAGTCGTCTTATAAAAAGGCAAGATAGTCGTAACGGTATAATGTTCAGATTTCAATACGTGTAATAAATTACAATTATCTGCCTAATAAGAGATATGATTTTAATCTTTGATACAATGTTTTTAAAATATAATCAAATATTTCCATAGACATTTTTCCTAGGTTATTAACTAATTTCCCGATAATGAATATAAAACTCAGGATTTTGTACAACCCGAGATAATCAAGTAATTTACACATTTATTCTGAAATTAAGCCCTTTACTATATTAATTACAGACTAATTCTATATCGGACATTCATTTAATGATCAATTAAATTTGTTTAGATAAGTATGTATACTCTTCACGTTTTAGACATTCGAAGAAGTTTTTTAATTTTGTTGTCCTCTGTTCTAGATCCGATCGTATTTAACTGATGAAAACTATGAAAGCATGTTTTGTATTATATATAAAGCATAATTGTACAATTCATTAACACCTTATTCAAAACAAAATACACGTTATTTAGTAGATATAAGATAAGAAAGTAGTGATAGAAATCAGGCTATCGAAATTGATCGCTAGTGAATTAAACAGGGATAATTCCAAAATTTATTAATCACAATATGAAATCTGAAAAACACCGAATATTCGAATCTTAAATTCATATTCGAATATCAACTCATCGAATGAATATTCGAATGTTCGAATATTCGTTGCCATCCCTAGTCATTGAAAATCCTCTTCTCAAGAACCACTGGGCCAGAAAAGTTGAAACTTATATGAAAGCTTCCTAAGGTAGTGTAGATTCTAAATTGTGCAGGCCATGGGCCCCAGGGGTAGGGTGGGACCACAATAGGGAATCAAATTTTTACATTAAAATACAGCGTATGTAGGAAATTTTAAAAAAAAAATCTTCTTCACAAAAACTGCGACCAGAAAAGCTGAAATTATGTGGAAGCTTCCGGAGGTAATGTAGATTGTAAATTGTTAAGATCATGGTCCCGGGGTAGGGTTGGACCACAATAGGGAATCAGAGTTTTCCATTGAAATATATAAAAAACATTTTTAAAAAGTCTTCTTCTCAAGAACCACTGGACCAGAAAAGATGAGACTAGGTGAAAGCATATTTAGGAAGTATATATTGTAAATTTTTCAGTTCATAGTCTTTGGGGGTAGGGTGGGGCCACAATAGGAATTATATAGGGAAAAATCTTCTTGTAAAGAACAGCAAAACCATGATGAATCATATTAATGTGGAAGCCTCCTCTTATATGGAGAATCACTTTTGTTCAAATCACAGCCCCTTTGTATAGGATGGGGCTACAATAGGCGACCAAATTTAGGAATATATGTATATTAGGAAAAAGTAACTCAGGTGGCCCATGGGTCTCTTGTTTAAAATAGCTTGAGCTTATTTTGATTTAATTAAGTGAACTTATTGCTTTAACAGTTCATGTTAGAATCCTGTAGATGTATTATATATAGCTTGTACAGTATTTGGAGGAAATTGATTTTTAAACAAGTTAGAATAGATTTGATTCAGCACATTACTTAAAGTTCTTATTCTTGTGGATATGTGCAAGATATTTAGCATTGTACTTGAATTAGCGGAAGTTGCTTTCCGTCAAAGGCACTAAAAGGAATACACAGCCAAATATAATATGTTTACAGTAATGCATTTGTACAAGTAAGCAGTATTAAAAGTTTTAATTTAACAACATTAAAGTTTTATTTTTCCATTGATGTATTTATTTCTATTTCATAAAGGAATACTGATAAAGAAAAAAAAAACAACAACAACAACAACAAAAAAACTAGAAGATTTCTGTGGCAATTCCACAATTTATATTTGTTGAATTATATACACAACAACAAAAAAATTGTGTCTATATTGGGTAAAATGTGATCTAATTTTGCCTTCTTCATGCTACCAATAAAAATTGATTAGTATCAAAATAGAAAAAAAATTAAAATGATTTAGCTGACACTTCGATTTAAATGATTGCACATTACCTGTCTTTGAACAATAAAATATGAGTAGCAATTTTTTTCAACAGAGACATAAAACAAGTAAAGGACTCCCAGAAAGACTTTGAGAAGGCCAGTACAGAGTTAGACAATGCCATCAATAGGAACGCCAGCATACCACGGACAAAACCACAGGAATGTGAAGAAGCTGCCACCATGCTGAAGGCAAAGAAGTCCTGTTTTGCTCACACAGCTGTAGACCATGTATTTCAGGTCAGTTTGGCCTGCAGCATATGGCTGTTGCTTCAGCAACCATTCTTTATGGTTAATTCTATGGGTGTAACCCATTGATTATGCAAGTGTAGCCTATTATTCTTTTTAGCTCACCTTGACAAAGTTGGGGGACCATATGCTATTACTGCTATACCCTTAGTGCTGGCATCCCAGGTTAAAATTTTTAGAGCAGCTTTCTTTCAAAGTAACTGTATGCTGCCTTTTTTTAATCAGAGATGCATGGATGATGCATCTAGTATGTTTCATTGTACCAGTTAGGTTTCAGATTCTGCATTTTCAACCAATATTTTCCATAAGAATGTCCAGATTAATGTTAAAATTTTTGGAGGGTTAAACATTTTTTAAGCAGCTCCATTCCCAAGTACTGTAAAACAACTTTTATCCATGTGCTAGAACAGGTTGAGGAAACTATTTCCTGTGATGTCAGAATAAATTTACATGCTAAATGAGGCACCAACGTGACTGACAAACCGACCAGTCAGCTAAACGAGTTGCATTATGGGTTACTACAAAAATACTGCATGTACGTTTCAAAAAGGCCAGTTTTTCAAATCGCTCTCGGAAAGACATGTTGCATTTATCCAAACATTTTGCACACTTAATACAATATGTACATCATTATCTACGAATTCCATGCTCACATTTACATACAAATGTTTTACAGCGGTAAAATTTGGGTTTTCAACACTCTATTGTACAAGTCCGTTTGTTGACAATTGCCTGGCAGCTTTTCCTTTGCTGTACTATCAGTGAATATGAATTTCACATGACTACTAGTATTTCCTGGTCCAAAACAATCGACTCTGAGGTGTACTCACATATTGTCATTGTTTACTACGATATATATGCTACTCAATACACGTTCTATGATCAATGTACATGAGAATTAATGTGTAATACATAAGAATTACTATGGAAAATAAATGCAGTGCAGCAATAAACTTTCTTTTTTTATAAATGCATTGACTTTTAATTTCTTGTAAACAAATAATAAAGCAACAACGAATAACACCAGTAGCATGGCAAATTTATGAATATCAAGGTATAAAAACTGGATTCTTATTTACTTGTGAGGACTTTGTGAGCAGTATTTCAACGAACTATTTAACACGGAAAATTGTCTTTGTTTGTTAATGTGAGCACGGGAAATCTTAATTAGTTCCTATTCTTTGTATTTTTCACAAAAACATTAAAAATGATTATTAGTTGACTTTCCTGCAGTCATTTGAAATCATCGTGTCCTAAATTTGCCTGACCCACGTGTTTGCAGTAAAATATAAACATGTAGTAGACCATCATGCTTTTCGGCTCATTCATTGGATTGGACAATTGTTTGCTGTAAGCACCTCTGTGCACAATGACAACAATCCATATAAGGTAGATTCCTCAACCTGTAGAAATATCTATGAGTTTGGCGACCTACTTAAACCCACGAATATTAACTGCTGCAGACCAATTATTTTGGTTGTATTTGTAGAGAATGTTTCCTCAGTCGCAAAAATTAATTGTCGTGGATTGATTTCAAACTGACGATTTGCGAATAAAAGATAACACTAATTATAGTTTGTTTACAGTAGCTATAAGCCTTACCTGGAACTAATTTGCAACAAACTTGCAGCATTTAGGGATGCACAATACCACACTTACTTTGGACCTACATTTTCCAGATGAGTGACAAGGTACAAGTTTTTGGAGTAGGTTTATTCCCAAGTAACTATAAGGCCTTTGGTGCCAAACTTGCAGAGATGATGCGTCTAAGGATGCACACTTCCAGACTTGTTTTGGATGCTGGATCTGACTCACCTTTTTCATAGTGATTGAACAGTTTTAAGTTTTTGGAGTGGATCCATTCTCAAGTAACTATAAGCCTTACCTGGACCAACCTTTGCATGGATGATGCATATAGGGATTGGTTGCTGGATCTGACTTACATTTTCTGGACAATTAAGCAGGTTTAAGTTTTTGGAGAATGTTCATTACAAAGTATCTGTGGATAAAGTATTAACCTATTTGGATCAAACTCGCAGGGATGATACATCTTGGGATACACATTACCAGTTTTCCTTTGATCTACATTTTCAGGGTTGTTGAACACTTCAAATTTTGGGGGCAGGTTCATTCTTAATTAAACTTTAAGTCTTACCCAAACCAAACTTTCATGAATGCTGTATCTATGCAAAATCCCAGAAAAGCATTTGGTTGGATTCGCCTTACAGGTAACATCATTCGTCAAGGTGAGCTTTGTAATCTTTTATGTATAAGTTGAATGTACTTTGTATATACATGGCAAAATGATTAATAAGAAAACATATACATGTATGTATTTAGCAGAATTTTTTAGATGTTATAGAACTCACTGAAGTCATAAAGTGTTTTATAATGATTATTATTATTTTTGCAGATTAACATATTAAATTCAAAGAAAAGATATGAAATTTTAGAAACAGTAAGTAATACAACTTCCAATTTTTGTATTTTAAAGTATTCTTTAATGAGTTGCATACATACTCTATTTGATAAAAAATTTACTTTATATCGTGTAAATTAGGTTGCCTACGTCACAATGACTTGCATCCAAAAAGTATCGATCCACCTGATGTTACAAAATCACATCGATCAACCTGACATTACATTTAAATTTTGTACAATTTGAAGTCATTTTTAAGGGCAGTCATCTTTTTTTAGCTCACCTGAGCTGAAAGCTCAAGTGAGCTTTTCTGATCACATTTTGTCTGTAGTCCGTCTGTCTGTCTGTCTAGCTGTCCGTCCGTCTGTCTGTAAACTCTTCACATTTTCGACTTCTTCTCCAGAACCACTGTGCCAATTTCAACCAAACTTGCCACAAAGCATCCTTGGGTGAAGGGGATTCAAGTTTGTTCAAATGAAGGACCACACCCTCATTCAAGGGGAGATAATTCAGAAATAGTGAAAATTTGGTGGCATATCTTAAAAATCTTCTCAAGAACCACAGGCCCAAAAGGCCACAGTGGGGGATCAAAGTTTTACATAGGAATATAAAGGAAAAAATCTTCCTCTCAAGAACAGCAAAGCCATGATTTGTCATATTGATATGTAAGCATCCTCAGATAGTATAGATTCAAATTTGTTCAAATCATGACCTCTGGGGGTAGGGTTGGGCCACAAGGGGGGATCAAAGTTTTACATAGGAATACATAGGAAAAAACTTTTAAAAATCTTCTTCTCAAGAACAGCAAACCCATGTTTAGTCATATTGATATGGAAGCATTCTCAGGTATTGAAGATTCAAGTTTATTCAAATCATGACCCCCGGGGGTAGGGTGGGGTCAGAATGAAGGATCAAAGTTTTACATAGAAGTATATATGAAAAAATCTACTTCTCAAGAACAGCAAAGCCATGTTTAGTCATATTGATATGGAAGCATTGTCGGGTATTGTAGATTCAAGTTTGTTCAAATCATGACCCCCGGGGGTAGGGTGGGGTCAAATGGGGGATCAAAGTTTTACATAGGAATATATAGGAAAAATCTTTTAAAATCTTCTCAAGAACAGCAAAGCCTTGTTTAGTCATATTGATATGTAAGCATCCTCATGACCCCCGGGGTTAGGGTGGGGTCAGAATGAAGGATCAAAGTTTTACATAGAAGTATATAGGAAAAAATCTTTAAAAATCTTTTTCTCAAGAACAGCAAACCCATGTTTAGTCATATTGATATGGAAGCATTGTCGGGTATTGTAGATTCAAGTTTGTTCAAATCATGACCCCCGGGGGCAGGGTGGGGTCAAATGGGGGATCAAAGTTTTACATAGGAATATATAGGAAAAAACTTTTAAAAATCTTCTTCTCAAGAAGAGCAATTCCATGTTTAGTCGTATTGATATGGAAGCATTCTCAGGTATTGAAGATTCAAATTTGTTCAAATCATGACCCCCGGGGGTAGGGTGGGGTCAAAATGGGGGATCAAAGTTTTACATAGGAATATAAAGGAAAAAATCTTTGTCTCAAGAACAGCAAAGCCATGTTTAGTCGTATTGATATGGAAGCATCCTCGGGTAGTGTAGATTAAAGTTTGTTCAAATCATGACCCCTGGGGGTAGGGAATGGCCACAATGGGGTATCAAATTTTTACAAAGGAATATATAAGAAAAATCTTTAAAAATCTTCTGCTCAAGAACAGCAAAGCCATTTGTTATATTGATATGGAAGCATCCTCAGGTAGTTTAAAATTCAAGTCCCCCCCCCCCCTCCTCCCCTGTAAACTTTTCAATATTGAATTGATTTGTGCTTTTTCTTTTGTGCTCAGGTGAGTGATGTGGCCCATAGGCCTCTTGTTTCTTACACTAAATGAATGAAAATTATATTATAAGGAATGAATTTAATAGCTACCCTATTTATATGGTATAAATTGGGTTGGAACAGTTTACGCTTTTTTATAAACCACTTCTGTAACCTGCTTGAACCCAGTTTATACCATAATTGTGTGTATGATATGTATGGGAGAACTCTTGTAATAAATATAGAAAACAAAAGGTACTAAGAAATTGTAAGTATATAATATTTTGAATTATTGTCCTGAATTCTATATGTTAGGAGAATAACTGTTTGAATTAGTAATAAATCAATAATACTAATTAAATTGCTATTTGATTATGTATTAAATTGACTCTATTTCCTTTTTTTCAGATGTTGTCATTTATGCGTGCTCAAAGCACATTCTTTCATCAAGGTCATGACTTATTTCAGGAGTTTGAACCAGAGATGAAAAATGTCGCCTCCCAGGTTTGTAAAATTAAAATATTTTAAATTGTACATATAAGGTAAATACATAAAATACACACAATTTCCTTTGAAACTCATGGAATTAACAAGACAAGTAGATTCAGAGGCTGTATATTATGGACTAATGATGGTTTACTGAAAGTTTAACTGGAAATAAAAGATTTTGTATAAGTTTTATTCATATAAATCTCCAACATGACAGAAGAAGGTTGAGATGTTGTGTTTTATTATACAGGTGGATGTTCTTAGTGCCAAAGCTAGTCAAGAGAAGAAAGAAATGGAGGAGAGGCATTCACTGGTGCAAAATAAGGTAGGAAATTCTTGTGTAACATTCTTAAAGGGGCCTGGACACAGTTCATTGTGGTTTTTGTTTACAATTTTAAATTTCTATTTTTATTTTTAAAAAATTAACTTCAGTTTAATGAATTTAACTTACATGAAAATTCTTAAAATTCAAAGACAAAGGCATTCTACAAAACATCAGGTCAAAAATCGGTATTTGTAAACAGGGGTACAAGCTCTGTTTACATTTTACTGGATGTGTTCAGTTTGTTTACTCTGCACACATTATTGAGCATAGACTGACAATACTGGTGAGTTGGTTTTGCTTTCTCACTTTTCTACTTCAAATTTTATGGATTATATTATTAATATTTTTCATTTATACATAATTTTTTTTTCCATTTTTCTTAAATATTAAGGATAAAGTTAACTACATCAAGTGCAAGGATGTGTGTCAATCAAATGTGTTCCAAAATTTATAGTTTTAGTAATTTCCAGATAAAGGAAGTTTCTAAACATGCTTTTATAATATTTTGGTGTGAAATGCTCTAGCAACATATAAGTCATGATATCATACTGAAAATTTTAGAAAATATTTATTTTAAATTTGTGTCCAAGCTCCTTTAGTTCTTGAATGTTAATCATTCAGTAAAATGTTTGAAGACTATGAAACCACAGAAATTACCCTCTATATAGTAATACTGGCACAGCCGTGACTTGTACCTGTATATTTGTCAATGTGTTTTCACCTGCCTTGAGATTTGAATACTGTAGACAGTTATTTTCTCCCTTTCACATGTGTGAATGATTTTGCCTTGTTTTAAATTCTTCTAGACACAGATTTTCACAAGAGAGCTATTGCTCTCTGTGTAAAATTTGCCCAGGTTTTGAATTCACCAAATGATGAGTACAGATGAGGGTGAAAGGGGGGAAATAAAATGGAGGCAAAAACTTCCCTGTGTACAGTATACCTATAATTATAAATGATGTACTTTAACCAAAGGGTGTTCTCATTGTACATTTCTTTTTTAAGTGACTTGTGAATGATACAGTATTTTGTATATATATATGTCTTTTTAGTTCATTAAATAAATTGTGACCTTGACAGAACCTGCTAATTTGATGCACAATAAGGTTTCAAGAAGAATTTAAGTGGAAAACAACAAATCAGGAGACTTTTTTTATCACAAAATAATTTATTTCTGTCATGTGGAGGATTTAATGACCACCACTCTGTAGAGGTAGACAAGGAATGTCAGCAAACACCAGGAATCTGAAAGTAAAAGATAAAGCAACCTTCTTTAAAAGATTGATACATAAAAGTTTTCAGAGTTATCTCCCTTTGTTTACACAATAAAAAATGGCTCGTGCATGCAAAACTAACAGAAATAAAACACATTTGTAAGTACATATATTGGATTAATTTTCTCTAAAGTGGTAGTTTTGTTTGTATTGTTTTATTTAACCCAACAATATCAGATGGAAAAAATATACACATAAAAAGAACTAGAAATTTTCTTTGCTCTCTGCCATTATTTCCGTGAGGTATGAATAAGAACTAACTGCACATTGAAAAAAAAAAGTTTGTTTCATTGGGCACTAAGCAGAAATTGACCCCTTGCTTTAAAAATTAACAAAAAAAATTAATCTGTAGTATGAATTTAGTCAAAATTTCATTTTCACTACTACCATGATAAACGTGCATGATCATGTAAGTGTTCAAATCCTACCTACACACTGGTTCAAAAAAAGGAAAAACACAACTTTGACCCGAGTGGAAGACTTTTGGTCAAGATTATACTTACGTGAAAAGATAACCTTATTGTGCAGTCACATTAACAGTGTCCTGTTTAGAGAATGACATCTAATTGTCAATACATACAACTGATACAAGTATAGTTTGTAATTGTGTAATTTATACAGTGTGCTCTGTACAATAGTATGAAAGTGAAGAAAAGTTAAGAAAGGAAGTGAAGTATGGTATAAATAAAAGAAAACAAGTAACGTTGACTTCTGCAGTGTGACGTTTGATTGAGGTATATATATGTTGAGAGAAATTGAAAAAGAAGAAAGAATTGAATATTTTGTAAAATACAGATGTAATAGTATCATTTTTTAAAAATAAGATAAATCCTTTTATATTGGTATATTGAAAAAAAAAAACCCACAAAATTATCTATCTATCATTTATTTGCATAGTAATAGTTTACAAAAATAAGCATTTTAGGTATTGAAAATTCTAGCAAAATTATAATTGGTCATAAGTACTTATAATTTTGTATGTTATATGTACAAATTCTTTGTATATTTGAAGATTTGCATAGATTAGTTCTAAAAATAATAAAATGCCATGATTTTATTAAATAGGAAAAACTATAATGTGTTAAAATAAGAAACTATTAATATGAAATAGAAAGTATTAAACTTTTTAAAAACTTTTTTTAAATGACTGAAACAATCATAAAGTGCATAAGAGCTAAATGAATGGGTTATATTGATGGTGGTTTTATTAAAATGAAAGCTTTTGGGGAGAAAAAAGTAAAAAGAAAACATTCTTGGTCTGAGATGGAAAAGAACAGTGAATTGCAATTTTTCTCACCAAATGACTTGTAAAAAGCTATTTGCATTTCCACAAAGCTTAATTTGAGCTAGAAGTTTGCTACAGTAAGAAATGTGATGATGATTTAGTGACAGAAGGAAGACATTGTGAAATACCAACAGGAAAAAAAAATCATAGAAATTCCTAGTCATGCTAGAAAGAACAACAGTATTAGGGGAGGAAAAAAATCCCAATTTTTTTAACATGCCTCATAATCAACACAAAAACATTGTAAGTGAACTGTAAGTGAACTGCATTGCAGATCAAATCCAAGTACAACGTGCAAAGACTATAGTTATTTCTCCTGAACATTACACAGATCAAGGAAATCTAGAGATATAAGCTAGCAGTCATGCACACTGGACAAAGTCACAAAAGTTTCTCATGCAGTTTTGCGAGCTCTTGTGTTTCGCTTTCGTGTCCTACGTGTTTTGCGATTTCGTAAGGTGGTTTTTCTAACTCTAGGCTTAAGGGTTTTGCATCTCTCTGTACCATCTTTAAGCCTACGACAGCACCTCCTTTCACCTGTGGGCAGCTTGCTGCACTTTCTGGGAATTTTTCTCTTTCCCCTCTTTGACCCCTTCTTACCCCGTTTCTTATTACGTTTTCTGTTCTTGGTTCTTTTGTTGGGGTTTCTCTTTTTCTTTCTTTCTTTGTTCTTTTTGTTTTGTTTCTTATTCCCTGAAGGCTTTTTACCTGTAGTTTTCCTGGCAGAATTTCCTGTGGACTTGATTTCTCCGTTGATCTTTGAACCTTGAACTCTCTCCTGCTTGGCTGTGACTGCCCCTGTTGTGGAGTCTGTGTTCTGCCTTACTTTGTTATCCTGTTGCTTCCCTGTGGTCTTTCTCCTCTGGGTACTGATCTCTGGTTGTGCTGGGGGCCTGGAGTTTGTCTCCGTTGTTTCAGGTGCTTCTGTAAATTCACTTGATAGAAGACTCTGCAGTTCACGGTCTTTGACTTCCTTTGGTCCAGCACAGATTGGTGCCTCAAAGCTATAGAACTTAACACTGGATACCTTCATCCATTCCCACAACCATAAAAGCCTTCTGTCACACTGCAGGGGGTTACCATCCAAGGTCATCATTTCTAAATTGACTAAGGCATTTTTCAGGTTAGATGGTAAAGTATTCAGTTCATTATATTCTAGATTGATCACTTTTATGGAGGGAAATGTTAGGCCACTGTTTTCAATCAATCTCAAAAAGTTTTTCGCCATTCCTGGACTATTCATAAACTGCAGGAATTTGGCATTTTGAATACCAGAAAGAAAATCATCAGCCACTGTGACATCACTTTGTTCCTGGTAAGACATTTGCAAGTCATGCAGACTTGGCAAGTCCTTGAAAGCTTTGGATTGAATTCTTTTTAGAGGATTGTTAGATAAGTCAATTTCCTTCAAACTAGACATGTCAGTAAATGTTCCACTGACTAATTCTTGGATGTTGTTACCCTTGAGATAGATATTGGACAAATTTTGTAATCCAGAGAAGGAATTACTCAGAATTTGGCGAACAGCATTCATGTTCAATGATAGTGTCTCCAAGTTGGCATCTTTGCCAAAAAGTCCAGATTCAATATCATGGACTTCGTTCTGATCCATGTAAAGTTTTTCTAGTGCTATGGGCAGACCTCTAGGGATCATTGTTAACTTGTTGTTGTTAAGCCAAAGTTCTTGCAAGTTGCTAGTGGTTGCAAAAGCTGTGTACTCAACATCTGAAATCATGTTCTCATTAAGGGTAAGAAGCTGTAGATTGGTGTTGTTCTCAAAATCTGTTGCCTTAATTTTTGTGATCTTATTGTTGCTTAGACGCAAGTCTGCAACAGAGGAAGGCATTGGGCCAGGCACACTTTCCAGGTCACACTGAGAAAAGTCCACTAGCTGTAACATGCTAGAAGAAAATCTTAGACCTTTAGCCTCCACAATAGGATTGTTCTTTAGTATGAGGTATCTAAGGTAAGGAAGGTTTTCAAATGCTCGGGGATGGATTGATTGAATACGATTGACACTGAGATCTATGCTTCGTACACGTGTTGTCATTTCAAAGTCATCCTCTTCAATTTGTTCAAGTTGATTGTAGCCAAGGTACAAAGTACTCACATTTGGGATTTCATTGAAGGGTTTCCCAATCCGACGAAGTTTTGTATTGGTCAATGTCAGAGACCTTAAATGTGATAAACCTTCAAATGCTTTGTCATGAATTCTGGTGATTGGATTCAAGGACAAGTCCAGACTCATAAGCTGTTCTAAGTTTCCAAAAGCTCTTGGTGCTATGGCACTGAGTCCATTTCTGGACAGTCTGAGGTTTTGTACATTAGGCAGTCCTTGGAAATCACCCTGTTGAATGTCTGTGAGTTGATTTTCTGTAAGGTCTATAGTAACTGTGTCACTTGGAAATTTTCGTGGAATGTCTCTAAGGCCCTTGCTCCTACAATCAGCTGTGGCTCCAGAACAGGACTGGCACTGGGGAGGGCAGGATTGTACAGTCAAAGCAGAAGCTAACACAACAACAGTAACAAAGTAGAAATCCATGTTGTAGGGGGTTCTTTCTAGTTGTTCACTTTTCTTACATCTCAGCTCAAAGTCTGCAAATATAAAAAATAAATTTTTAAGCTAGGAAATTAGATATACATTATGGGGAGTTTTTTGTTTTTCCTGTAATGTGTTATGGACAGCATGTGGAAATGGTTTTTTTCTGCTGGGAAAGGTTTTGGTCAACATGGAAGAAATCTGTCATGTTTTGCCTGGTTTGCTGCTGAGATCAATGCAGCATTAGTGATACCATCAATCATATTTGACAGGGGGCACTGCTCATATTCCATTACCACCCTGCTGAACTTTCTTAGCTATCACTGAGTAAACATGCCATTATTTGTACAGTAGCATTTTTTGTAATAATGTGTAAATCACAGGTAATGACAGATCCACCACTTTTAAACAGTGATCATGCCTTGCGAAAGATAAGGCAAATTTTACGGAGAAGTGATGGAAACTTAACCCCAAACAAATTTTTCATAGAAGAAATGTTGTACTTTGGTGTAAATAAGTTAAAAGGTGCATTCACTTTAATTGCAGTGCACTTTTGCTGGTACCAATTATGTATATGTATCCATTATTCATAGATCCAACCTACATGAAATGTCCTAAATGTAGAGTTAACTGGTGCTTTACAAATTCTTATATCATAGTGTAAGATTCCATCAGATTTCTGTTATGAGGATGATTTGGCTGACTATAAATTGCAGATTAATGGTAAAGTCATCAGTAATGTAGAGTTTATTTACTTTCTTGCCTCATTGAGTATAGAATGCCTCTAGTGGTTGATGATGCCACAATTACAACACAAGGTTATAAGAAATAGATGTATCAGCGGGGTCTTGTGATCATAGGCTCTGACATTGCTGACAGATCTCTTGCCAAGTCTGTGAGACAGGAGAGGAAAGCATGCTTCTGGCATTTTTTGTCTCAGTGTGCAAAACTGAGGTTTTCTTTTTATTTGGGAATCTTTATCTAATATAAGATTGTCTGGGATATCAATAGATGATAAAAGGTTTTTAAACATATTTTTCATGCAAATACATGTACAATATAATTACATGTATATGGAAGGACCATTTTATTGTCTACTTTTGTTCTAACTCTTTTCTATTGAATTTTAGTTTTAAAAAAAATTCTATACATTTTCACCTGTGTTTTATGTGTGGTATAAAGAAAGTTAAAGTATTTTAGCTGTTTATGATGAAATAGGAAACACGTACTCTTCATCAAATCTAAAGAAAGAGTAGGAAACCCATTTAAGCAGCCTGTAATGTCTGGATGAATAGGAATCCATCTACCCACTCACTGCCTAGCTGTATGAATGGGAGAGTACTTGGTATGGTTGAGAAAAAAAATAACTGCCCATAATGTATGATAGAATTGTCCAATTTAAACAGGAATGTAATGGAAAATGTGTACAAATGTGCAAAGTGTTTGATCTGCATCCATGCATCCCTTGTATATAAGTGGCACATGTATAACAATTATTTTACTAGCATGTGTGCTCCATTGTATGGTGACATTTTTTCTTCCATTCTTTATGTAATGTATTGTTAATTATAGACATACATTTATTCATTTATTATTTTGTAAAAATATGGTAGTTCATTGTATTAATATAACATATAGGCAGACATAGTATCCAATTAAAATATATAGTTTCATCTTGGGGGGTACGTGGATATGGTTAATTAGTTTTCTGGTGAAAGGAAGTCTGTGTAGGATGAAGTGAGAAGGAATGCTTAATTAAAGTGTCAAAATCAACAAGTACAGTTATCATTCAGACTGATTGAGAGATGAACCATCTTTGGCTAGGTATAAATGACCCCGGGGTCATTGTTAGAGATATGCTAACTCAGAGAACTTTTGGCATAATTCTTTAGCAACAGGTATTTGTGCTTAATTTGTGCAATAGTACTCATTGGAAATTTCTGACTCGTCATTGAATGAACAGATTCAGAGAGTTGTGAGAATTTCTCTCTCTTCAGCTTATTTTGTTCAGATAACAAGATTGCACCAAATGCACTTCACTGTTCATTTTTGAACATCAACATAAAGCTGCAGACCTTAACCCCTGTGATAATAGTTACAGAGAACATTCAACCTGAGCTGTGATTTCCCCGTGTATTAGAGAATACATCTGGCCCCCCTTTTTTCGCGCTTATACTCCAAAATTTGGCACTAAGTGTTCGGATTGTTTGGTTATGAAATCATTATTCTTACTGACTCAACTTTGAGTATATTTTGTGGTGGTTGTGAAATCTTCAATAAAGAATGAGTGATTCACTTAAAAATTGCCACTAATTCTTATGAGCCACTACAAAATTATGTCTCTCAGGAAATATATTGCATAATACAAGTGTAAATTTTATTCATTCTACTGTGCATTTCTGGATTAGAGAGGGATATTGTTTGAGTGGGAGGGAGGAAAGGATACTCGTGAACAATTCTCCTCAGATAATTTAAAAAAAAAAATCTGATTTTTCTTGAATGATTTCAACCAGATATCACTGGGTTATGCATTCTCAATGAACTTCCAAACTACCTTGAAATGGCAAATCAAACTACATTATTTATCATGGGTAAAATTTTTGTCTTTTCTAGCAGAAGGAAGGGAATCTGTGGAAACTGAAATAGCTCATATAATGTATAAATAAATTATGTTGACCCAGACATACTCATTATGAGGGACTAGGTCTAATATGGGAGTCTATCATCGTATATGGGGATCTGTGTTTACACTATCCCCCCCCTTTGGCTTCTCTGGTATGAAGGCAGGTGGATAAACAATGTAAATAAGTAAATCTTGTATACAGGATTCCTCTTCTTCAAAGCTTTGAACATAAACAACTCTGCTGACTCAGCATAGAACGATTTGCAGAATAATTGACTTTTTAAAATAATGACTTCTAGATGAATTACTGCTTTTTGTATAAAAGTGGTTATTTGGTGGTTGTAAATTTTAAATTGCATTTTTTACGATGGGATTTTGTCAGACTGTAAAGCAAAGCCACTAGACAGTTTTAAAATCATCTGTTCATTTGATTAATGTTTTCATTGCGCAATACATCCGCACCATTTTAAAATCAAGAGTACAGTGTATTTACAGTTTTAAAGCAACTATTTTCACATAATTTATCAAATTTAGCAAATTTGAAATAATCACAGATTAAAAAATCTAATAACAATTTTAAAGAACTGATTTTTTGAACATTTTTTTTTTCTGATAAGTATAAAAACAGGAAAATTTCATTTTTTTTTTACATTTTGAGATGCCCCCTCTGGAAACCAGATGATAGAATTTTTATGTTTCTTACATATAATGTACAATATAGTACTATACATCATGTATTATGATATCAGCAAAAAGTCTATTGTAGTATTTGTAAAATTCGCTTTGAAGTGTGAAAAACTAGCACTTTCCCATATTATCCAATGTTAAATGTACCTGTATTTTGAAATGGTCCCTAAAAATACTCAGACGATAAATTTTCCTGAAACTTTGCATGTACACTGAAGTCAATATAAGTTACATATGATATGAAATTAAAAAGTTTTTCTATTGTAGTTTTCATGCAATTAAACCCCTGTCGGCTCCCTTAAATATTGTAATTTGATTACCTCATGCTTGCAGCTCTGTTTAAGGTGACCATGCATTTATTTCTGAGTAAATTCATACATTAAACTTGACCTTAGTCCTGACCTCTGACTGTTAGAATTGTTAAATGATACGAGGTGAGCATATGGTTTAGGTGACCCTGTCACATATTTTTAATATATTCGATCAGTGCATATTATCTATTCAAGATATATTACTAAAGTCAGGTACTCTTCACACAATTGCTCCGAAGAAAATAGTTCCATTCATGATTAGTAGATACAACATTACAACAAATGTTAAGAATAATGATGTATATTTAATACGTTAAAGAAAACAAAATTAACGTAAAAAGATTTTAAGAAAATCACTTTTCCCCAGAAAAGGAAATAAAAAGTTTTCATATTCCTACGCTCTCTGCCTCCTCAGTCTTTTTCACGAAAATATATAGGTCATCCTTCGATTGATAGTGATAAATCTTTTCACCAATTATATAACTGTCATGATTATTGTTCGTTAATTGCCGTATATTTTCTTTTGAGTGAGAATGTTAATCATTAACTGTGTGTGTTTTTTTTCTTCTCTTTTTTTAAAATAATGGAATGGTTATTATGGTTAAACACCTGCAATCGTAACTTCTCGGCAAAGCAACGTGATTTGCCGAGCTCGTCGGAAAGGATCTTCGCACATGTGTAAACAGTCTATTTGGTCTTGCAAGCACAGGTATGTGCACCGTTCGCTAGTGACGCTTAGATCATGTAGACTGGGTATCAGTATTTGCTACGGACATGAAGAGGAACTATACACCAGTTTCATAGCAAGTGCAGGTTTTTAATATATTCGATCAGTGCATATTATCTATTCAAGATATATTACTAAAGTCAGGTACTCTTCACACAATTGCTCCACAGAAAATAGTTCCATTCATGATCAATAGATACAACATTACAACAAATATTAAGAATAATGATGTATATTTAATACGTTAAAGAAAACAAAATTAACGTAAAAAGATTTTAAGAAAATCACTTTTTTCCTAGAAAAGCAAATAAAAAGTTTTCGTATTCCTACGCTCGCTGACTCCTCAGTCTTTTTCACGAAATATATAGGTCATACTTCGATTGATAATGATAAATCTTTTCACCAATTATATTACTGTCATGATTATAATCGTTAATTGCCGTATATTTTCTTTTGGGTTAGAATGTTAATCATTAACTGTGTGTGTGTGTGTTTTCCTCTTTTTTTAAATAACGGAATGGTTATTATGGTTAAACACCTGCAATCGTAACTTCTCGGCAAAGCAACGTGATTTCCGAGGTCGTTAGAAAGGATCTTCGCACGTGTGTAGACCCAGGCTATTTGGTCTTGCAAGCACAGGTGTGTGCACCGTTCCCTAGTGACGATTAGATCATGTAGACTGGGTATCAAGTATTTGCTACGGACATG